GTTTACAAAAACCGGTCATCTTGATCAGGCATTGCTGGGTGGAAATATCAGAATCCCAGAGACACCGCTCCACTACTGAAGAAGGGTTTGAGGTTAGACTAAAGTCTATCCCACAAAAAACACTGCAGGAATTAGTGCCAGGATACAAGGAATGTCTCTAGACCCCAACCATGTCTCCCTCTGCTTCTCACTCTGTCTCCTCTTTTTATCTCTTGCAAACCACCTTCTCCGGTAAAGCTTAAGGCTCCAAGGTGAAAATTCTAATCCCACCTCACTTTGCTATTATAGCTCCAGATCCCAATACCATCTGGTTTAACCCTAAAGAAAGAGCCATTCCTGATCCAATTAGCTGAGGCCAGGGGCTACTGGTCTGTAATTAACTTGTTCTGTAATACAGCCAATCGCTTGGAGGGAAGCACTGCCCATCTAAGTAGTAATTCTATTTTCTGTAACTACATGGAGACAAAAGATGTTACCAAAATATTAACACTAAGTATTAACCACACCAAAGCAGGAACGACATTTATATCTATGTTTGTTTTTGTATTTTTGCTTCCCCATGTGTTATAACTTTTTTATACTGTATGTGTATGGCTTCTGTCCAAAAAGGGGCCCAACCTACATGAGGACTAAAAAGCAAATGGCTAGAGTGGTTGATATTTGGAAACTAAAGGTCCAGATAAAAATTATGTTTAGTGTTGATGATGAATAGGATGTAGGAAACTCTTACCAGAGAATGGTTAGGCGCAGAACAGTGAAGCCCACCTGAAGGTCCTTGGGTGTGAAGCTACAGCCGCACCATGAAGACGTCAATAAGCCGTATCAGACGGGGATGCTGGGCACTGGGTGCACCAGGAGCCACTGCCCTGTGACTCTGTGCTGTGCAAATGGCCCCTAGGGTACAACAATTCAGAGCAGAGGAGAAAAACATTAGCTTCATGCAATATAAGATACAATTTTAGAAGGCAAGAGACAATGACCACAGAAGAGGAAATCAAAATGGAACACAATGTTTCTCACACAAGGCAAGGGAAAAGGAAAAGCAGGGGGGAGTTCATGGATCTGAAAAATGGCAGTGGAGTAGCAAATAAGGAAGGAAGGGTGGTGGGAGGTAAGTCTTTAAAAAGATAAAGTGATGACCAAGGGAGATAAAAGGAAGGAGAAAGTTTTAGGACCAAACAAAAACAATGTAGTTTAAAGAAAGGATGGTTGGTAGAACAGGTAAAAAGAAAATAAATTCCTGAGAACAGACACCTGGGCTTGGATAAAGGTAGCCAGAGCACCCACTCCAGGCCACGGCTGTCCTATTTGCCTTCGGTGTTCTCCAAATGCTACATGACCCGAGGCCTTCCTACCTACACTCTGCCTGCGGCCTCTACATATGCAAGTGTCTGTCTGAACCCCATTTGGTACACACTCTTCTATCACCTAGGGAGATGTTTTGGTGGATGGGTCTTTCATTGCTTTCATTGATTATTTAATTGTCTCTTATAGCTCCACCTAGACAGGAAACCCCTGGAGGTTTGAGGGCTGGCAAAAGCCGACCGACATCGTGATTAGACATTTTAGCCGTTGTTAAGACATGCCCATGAATTCTTTAATATTCCCAAATTCCACAGGAAGGGTCTATGTGCCCTCCCCTTGAGTCTGAGCTGACCTCACTGAGTGGTGGACCAGTAAGTATGTGCCTTGGCGAGGCCATAAAAGGAAAGTTCAGCTTCTATCTCGTTCTCTTGGGACACTCATCTTTGGAGTCGTGAGTGGCTGGGAAAGGAGCGGAAGGATGAGGCGCTGTAAGGAAGCTCGAACCACTTGGGATGACCAGGCATCCAGCCAACGGCCCCAGCCGAGGTGACACCAAGCACCACACATGTCAGCGGGGAGACCTGCAGGCGACTCCAGCTTCACCAGCCATCAGAACTCAAAACGCTGCCTGACCACCACCCAACTGAGCCCAGTCGATACTCAGAACCATTTACAGATAATAATGCCACGATCGCTGTGGTTTTGAGCAAGAACCTTTAAGGGCGATCTGCCATTGCAAAAAACAGGTAACTGGAACAGACATAGTTCTCAACAAACCTATTAAATTTAATTCAATAGCAGGCAAGAGAAATCAGCATCATGTCGTTGTCTTTTTCTTCCTCTTTGCCTTACCTGCCACCATTTCTTGTTCCTCAGTCAGACTCTCCTTACATCCTAATCTCTCTCTTTCTCTCTTTGCAATTTTTTTTTTTTTATATCCTGGGAGATGTAAAAGAGAAAGGTACCTTCCGGAGAGCCAGGACTCTCTCCATATGTATTAAAGGACTCTGTTTTCTCTCTTTTGGCACAAACAAGCTCAAAACTTCAAAAAAACAAACAAAGATGTTTCCATTTTCCTGTTCTTTACGGACCTTATTCCTCCTTCCTGAACGATCTTTGGGTCCTGTGTGTACTTTTCAGTATGTAAAAGCTAAGAACCAGACTCTCTACCGGGTGATGATCTTGGCTATGTTCTCACCCTCATCTGGAAAGCACAGGGGCTGAGGGATAGGCAAAAACTAGACCAGAAACCTTCCCCACCCCCTAGGTGGAAGGGATTGGCCTGTACCACCACCTCGGAAGGTCGCCCGTGACAAGTGTAGGTGGGTGCACATTGCCAGATTTGTGTCTCTGCAGAAATGCATGGAATTCCGGAGGAGCACAGAGCTGCTCAGCAGAGAGATGAAGACGCAACCTCCAGGAATTGCAAACACGTTGCTAAAAGGACCACGTGCAGGCTTGGCCGAGCACACCCGTAGCAGGCAAAGTAATATCATCTCAGGTCAAGGTGAAAACCCCACAGCCCAAAATAGCCTCCTACCCAGTTGCCACAGGGTCTAAAATTATACCATTGAAGATTTATTCCTTTGCATGCCTCACTTTCGTTGAGGGCCAGGCTAGGGGCTGGGGGTCCCCATGAAATGTCTTCACGTTTAGGTGTAAAAGGCCTGACAGCTCCATGGAGTAATGTGGGGGCAGGAAAGGAGGGAGGTGTTGAAAGGAGAGGAAGAAGGAAGGGAAGTGTTAGTGAGGGATACCAAAAGGAAACTTCTCCTGTTTCAGAGTTTTCCCCAGAAGGAGGCTAGCTGGCAGCTACATCATAAAACTGAGGCCTGAGCAATTTGCCAGTAAATTTGAACCATGCATGTAAACAATTCTAATAATTTATTCTTTCAAACGCCTTTCTAATACATTATTATGCAAAGCTGCACATGCTTCTACTTCAAATTGCCTAAACGCAGAAGAAAAAAAAAAGTAAATGGAGGGCAATTAGAAAGAATAACCAGAGGAAATGGTATATGCTCTCACGCTGGAACACACAGGGAAACGACAGGCAGGGAATGAGATCATGTCCACCAAAGCCTCCGTTTCTGGGGGAAGAGTCCGTCAGAAATGCAGGCAAAGCTTCTGTCTTTATATAAAGAGAAGTTTGGTTAACCTGACCGCAGAAGATTAGTCAGTAAACAAAATAAAAGCAAGCAATCACGATTGGAAAACACCTCCAGTCCAGCATTACAAAGAACAGCGCCACCTGATTCCATGCTTTAAGTCCTTAAGAAGTGGACACAAATTACAGAAAGGTAATGCCCCTCCCCACGTAAGCCACCTGTGGGGCAGGGAGTTAAGTACCACAGTGACATTGATGAGCTTTAGGCAGAGGCAGGGGGTAAAAACAGGAATGGAGAAAATCAGAAAGGAGGAGGAGTAAAGGACAGAGTACCCCCTACTGAGAACTGGTCCCCACAACACTTACCAACATTTCTACGTCATTCAGCAGTTTATGAACTGCTGCACAACATGACCTCCAATCCTCCAAACCCAGCGAAGGAAGGGAACTTTACTCCCATTTTTAGGAATGACAGCACTTTGGATGAGAGATTTGGTGACTTTCCCAAGGTTCACTGGTGACATGGGCAGATCTTGAAACCCGAGTCTAACTGAATCCCCTGGTATTTCTACTGCAGTTTTCAGATTTATAGAAGCTAGGGATTCAGGTAATGTTAGTCCTGGGTCTATGAGTCACTTACTGGGTGATTTCTGTTAAGTAAGATTTCCCTGCTCACTGTTGATTCATTCATTCACTCAACAAATAATGGTTGAGTCTCAACTAATGCCAGGCATTGTTCTAGAAGCGGGAGCTCACTTTCATGGAGATTTCACATAGATGATGCCTTGATGGCTGATCTCAGTTGTCCCTTGTCAGAGAGCTACTCCTTGATCAAGCCCCTGTCATTCTTTTGCAGTTTCCCATGTTACTTAAGACCACCTAAAACCACGCAGTTCATATCTTTTATTCATTATTTTACTTTTTCTCTCAAGAAAAGTAGGTCATTCAGAACAAGATCCTGTCTTACACAAAGCTGTTTCTCCAATCCTCAGAACAATTCCTGTACACAGTAGGTGCTCAACAAACATTTGTCCAATAAATGACATTAAATATTAAGGAGAGCTTTTTTCCAGTGCCTTCTGTGAGCCCAAAGTAGTATGAATCTGTTTATATCAATCATCTCATTTAATTAAGATCATATATGCCAAAACAGAAAAAATGTGAAGAAAATGGGGCTTTTAATAATGGCAAAGAAAATGCTTGGAAGAATTAAATCTCATTTTGAAATGCTAGTGCCCTGTGCCCCTTAATGCAAGAACAAGGGCCATGTTGTGACATTAAAAGGTAACAAATTTAAAATGAATAAAAGGAAATACTTCTTAAAGTAGCGTATAATCTACCTGTGGAATTCACTGCCGCAGGATATTATTGAGGCAAATAGTCCAGCAAGATTCAAAAAAGGATTAGACATTTATATGAATAGGAATAATATTGGCAGTTACACTAACTAAGTTAAAAAGTTACAAGGCATGTCCGTCCTGGGCTGCGGGGCATAACTGTTCAACAGCTGGGGTGAGGAAGGAATTTCCCCTTGTGCTAGAGCATTGTACAGTTGGCCAGATGCACAATGGCTCATAGTTCTGCCATCTTCTGTAACATAGACAGAGACCACTGCCCTGGGGAAGTTCCTGGAGAAGATGGACCAATGACCTTTTAACGTGGTATTTCTGTCTGCTTGCTGCACAATCTGAATAGAAGGTAGAGAAAACACATAAAGTCTTTTGGGATTCGGACCTGAGAATTTCCGAGTTTCAGAAAACAGAAATGGTAAAAACAATTTTCTTCTTCCAAATGATGAAAATATTTCACAGGATGAAATCATGCCCTAGGTGTAAGCTTAGTTTAGCTAAGAGTACCAGGAAGCTGCCTGAGCACTTCCAAACCTCAGAGTACCTGAGTCCTGGGAGAATCTTATCCAAGGGCATCATTCATCCCTATCGTGTGACACTGTATTCCTTATGCGCATGCACCTAACACAGTGTCTTTAATGAAAGTGCATTTCTGCAGATTTGGTAAGGAGAGTTGCTCATAATGCTGTCCACTCACATTTTGAAGCTTTTCTCTTTGTCACACTTTCAGGCACAGTCTTTGATTCTTGGCGATCCATGTCACGCATTTTCTTCACCCTAACGTGGAAAATCCAAAAGGCGGTTGTTAGCCATGCATCTGAATACAAGTGTCCATTTTGATAGGCTATCATATAAAAGAGAACATTGAAACTAAATTATTCATTTTACTTACTTTACAATTCTTAGTTATGCAGGTGTAGACAAGGCTCTAAAGAAACTTTATCAATGTTTGAACAACTAAAGAAAGAAATCCCCCAAATTGTGGACCAAGGACATTCTGGAAGCCAAAACGGAAAGGGGAATGTTAATTTAAATCTTCAAACCATCAATGAACTTGACAGATTTCATAGATTCCTAAGTAAAAGCAAATAGATATACAACAAAATGTTGTATAAATGTTAATCTATGTGGTTTTTTTGGAGGAGAGTCACTGGAGATGTCATTAGTATATTCAAGTTTGTTCTCACACAAAAATTTTTAAGTGAAGAATGACTGGTCTAAGTCTTGGCCCACAAGAAAACTCTCAAGTCGAAGTCCTTTCCATCTACATGTAAGATTTCTCCCTTGTAAAATTTGCTTCCTTAAATTGGCAGAATAATTTTAACTGGATTCTCTTAGTATAAGATCATATATATATAGTACCTAATTCCCATCCAGAGAGAAGACCTGAAATATTTAAGTCTTGCTTCAGATAGCTGTCCCTTTACTAACTGGTTAAAGCAAATTGTTTCAAGTTGGGCTTTTTTTCTCACTCTAGGCTTTACTATTTACTTTTTCATGTGATTATCATAAGAGTAGAGCTTGTCTATTTGTGTTGAGTTGTTTGGGGCTTGAGCTTTTGCTGTTTTGTTGTTTTTGTTTTTTAGTGGTTGATGTTTATTTTTTACTTAACATTAACAACATATCATGAAGAATTACAAGTTAAGAATGTAAGCTCTGTAGTCAACTAGTCAACAAGGATGGGGTTCAAATCTCATTACTAACAGTGTGGCTTCAGATAAACCAATTAACCTTCCCGGGACTCTTCCCTCATTTATAAAATGGAGATATAATAAAATCTGGCTTAATCCAGTAAACAGATTAAAGAAGACAATGACTATAAAGCATTTGACACATTGCCTATCACATATTAAGTAGACAATAAATGTTCCCTGTTATTACGATTGTGTATATTTTGCCTACCCATTTGTAATCATTAGGAGTACATATCCTACTTTGATATTATTCCATTGTTCACATAACAACCAACATCAGTAAAATACTTCATAGCTCCATTTCTCTTATTGTTAGGCTTACATTTCATTTCTGACTACTGTAAATAATAGTTTAATGAACATCTTTGAACATTATTTTCTCAGTACTGAGAGTGGATTCCCAGGAGTAAAATTATTTGGTCAAGGGTTATATGAAGCTTTTGTGTTTCCAAATCTAGAAGAAAAAATTCCTGTGAAGGATGCACATTTCCACGCCCTCAACATCAGCCAGTTTCCTTCCAAGTACTTCTGAAACTATTGTACTCAGCCTCTCAGAAACTTGTCATCCTGTAGCTACACACCTTGTGGTTTTCCAGCTGAGTGAAGTCACAAAGGGGAAGGAACCATTTCCTGGTTTTCTGCCAGATGTCCAGCAGTCCCGTGAAGGCCAGCAATTCAACTGCCTGCCACTGGTGTGAAGACAGTGTGCACAGGACCGTTCCCAGAGCAAACAGGGCTTGGTGAGGCTCATACGTAAATATTTTCTTGCAAGGTGAAATAATGTGGGACGACACAGCTCACATCTGACCATAAACCATGGAAGGTGTAACCCAATGAGGCATATCACCTGAGCTCTGAAAGGGATACTCTGAGGAGGAACAGTTGGTTTGTGCAGTTTTGCAAGAGACTTAAATAATACCTGGTTTTGTGGGAAGGGAAAAAAAAAAGAAGAACAGAAAAGAAAGGGAACCCTTGGTCTTTGGCAGTGAATTTACTATATGAGAAGAGTGAGGATTGACAATGTTAAAATGAAATTTCCTAACCTGAGGTGACTAGATAAAGGCTTTACTTACCCTTTCCATACCAGTGTCCTGATGACCCCCTCTTTCTCTTGAAACAAGTCCTGAAGAGCCCTTAAAATTAATTTGAAATCTGTGTGGGCATTAGTCTAGTAAGAAAATATCTGACCTCCCTACGCATTCACACAAAACTTTTCTGATGGCAAATGCCTTCTAAGTTGCTGTCGCCACTACTTTAATCAGCCCCATCATGAATCTGTGCTTTTCACAAGTGAAGGTTTCAAATAAAGTGCTGTTAAACAAATAGGGTCTCTTAAAAGGTGTGATGCAATTGGGAAGCTCCTGAAAATGGATGAAAAAGCGGTTTCTGAGTGGATACACTAGTTATAGTGTTTTATCTTCCACTTAATTAAAAAAAAATTTTTTTACCTGGTCCTTTCTTAGAAATTACAGTGGAGGTCTATAATGGCCATGTCTTGAAACCATGAAAAAATTTACTCCCAGGAACAGTTAATATTTGATGTTTAATTGCTTTTTCTTGTTGGAGAGGAAAATCTGTTTCTTTCCTTCCTTTCTTGATTGACTTTTCAAAATCACCTTGTGAGCTATAAAAATGGAGAGGAGTAACTGATTTCCATAAACTCAAGTGCATGCACATATATTTGCATACACATATGTGTGTATGTGTGTATGTATATGGGGACATAAAAGTTTCCTGTGTGCTAAGAGCTGGGGCTTCCCACAGTAATTCTGCAAGGCAGGCGTTACTATCCCCATTGAAAAGAGTAGGCAGCCAAAGTCCGGAGGGGTCAGTTGCTTGCTTGCATAAGATCACGCAAGTAATAAATGATGGAGACCGAATCTTTATCCCTCCTGCCATGTTACCTGCAGGTACGAGTGCTTCATACCCAGGTAGGCAGATACCTGTGGAGCCCAGGCAGATAGCTAGGCCTGTGCTTAAGACCCGCAGGAGCACATTCAAGTTGTAGGAATGTACACACTCCAGATTCCTTCCAAACCTAGTCCTTAGAGTCTCACCTTCTCTTTTTGTGGAGCTGGAGAAAATGGATAAGCTCACACTTAGATCTTTAACTCATTCAAATCGAACATCAGTATAACACACACCAAATATTCTCTCCTAATGTGAGGGCCTATCGCGTTGATGACGCTGGTAAGTAAGAAAGTGAAGTTGGTCTGGAGCCACACACTGGAAAAGGGCGGCCTTTATGGTAGCGGAAGAAGCTCTGTCTAATGGGCACAGCCGCTCCTGGGCCCCAGGACATTGTCACCAAGCGCAACTGTGGACAGAATGGTGCCACATCTTCAGACTTTTTTCAAAAGAATCCAAAAAATCAATATTATTTGGTGACACTGAAGTTTCTCAATTTTGAAACGTCAGACAAACCCCAGCCAAATTCAGCCTGTAGGCGCTTCTGCTGCTCTTCCCAGTTGGAGCACATGTGTTCAATCGATTTGTTATTGGAGAGAAGATGCCCCCACAACACTTTGGTTTCACTAGTAAAGTATTTTTAGTCCTCTATTTCATCAACATTTCACGGAAATCTGTTATGTGTAGGAACCACCCACAAAGCACAGGGAAAGCAAAAAACTGAACGACACCCACTCTCTGTCACCAAGGAACTGACAGTCCCACATTTACACACAACCCCTGAGCCATCCAGGGAGTTATCAGTACACAAAAACGTAGATTAACAAATATTTTGTATGTTATAGGTTATATAACATTATATAATGTCTTATTATGATAAGGTAAGCTAAGCCAAAAAATGTTTCTTCACATTGTCACAAATCTCCAAAAATGTTCCCAGTATATCTACTGAAAATGATCCACACGGGTGGACCCATTCAGTTCAAATCCATGTTGTTCAAGAATGAAGAATATTTATATATATGTGTATATATAAACTAGGAAGGATTTCAGGTTTAAAAAATGTAGGAGGAGGGCAACCTAGTATGGGGGCCAATCTGTCACATTTATTGTAAACATCTCCTTTGTTATTCTTCAAGTAAGTTAGTTTGTCTCGATGTTCTGCTTTGAAGCTCCATTTTAATTTGAGAACTATTTCCACGAATACCAAAGTCCACATAGGATACTTTCCCATTGAAATCCCCAACAGTAATTGGAAGGGAAAAATCTCAATTTGTACCATGAAAGGATTTTTTTTTCACCATCAAATCACCTTTACTGATTTCTTAGTCTTGTGCTATTAGCTGGACTCTTGCATGTTTGAAACCTAGCTCTTAATTTCAACTATTCTACGGGGCTGTAGTTTTTATGAGAGCTGACCAGCAAATGCTTTATGTATTAAAACCCTCTGGAAAATCATGCTAATAATTTTTCAACTTTTTTTTTTGAAATTACAGAAGTCCCAAGACACAAATGAAAAACATTTAGGTCCAACCATTAAAGTTTTCAGCTCAGCACTTGAAAAATGATTTTACCTAATTGCTTTACAGAAGAAAATCAGATCAAAGTTAAGAGTCTTTCTCTTTAATGATTTCTCAGACTCCTCCTTGAAATGCCTTTAGAGTCCTTCCATTGAAATGTATGTGGACTTTGTCTCCCTTCCTTTCAAATATGCTTTGTGGTGACTGTGCCATGGCACCTTCCTCTGCCCTCTTTGACAGCAGGCATTGGCCTGAAAGGAAAGTTCTCAAACATCACCACCACCAGCAGGGTACAGACAGACAGAACAGGTGGTGCACAGTGCTAAGAACAAGGCATTGCACCGATTCAAACACAGCACATATTCTATAGCTCAAAAATGGGCAATTACAGGACACCTCATTTCCTTGTTTGCATAAGATACGCAGCCAACCCTTAGCAAGCAGAGGTCTTTTCTGCCCTCTCCTTCCCAGCCCATCCCTGTAGCAAGCCCGTGTGCCTCTTCCCAGTGAGCATTCACTCTCTAACTGCTCTAAACACTGCATGTTGGGGAATGTCTGAGCCTTTTCATTCGCTTTACACAGCAGGCAGTTCTTACAAGGTCGTCAACTTCCTTAGTTAGAAGCCACTTTGGCAATTCTTCTCCAACCCCTCTATTTGATAAAGGAAGGAGAAAAGAATAAGAGAGAAGCAACTATCGCACTCACACAGCTGGCCCCTGGGACTTGGGTCTAGTGATCTCTCCACTTCCACTCACAGTCACCATAGTGGATGAGTAACAACTCAAATTAGAGTTTACTTGGGCTTCAGAATAAAAATGAAACTGTTATAAAAGCACTGATGGGCCCCTACTTGGGGCCACGTGCCATGCCCATCTCCAGAAACTCAACAATGAATGGGAAGCAATCTCATCCTGATTCAATCACCTGCTAATGATGCCTCCTCCCAGAGGTGATACCCAGAGCAATCATTGACTGAACCCTGCACAGAAGGTTAAAGCTGGGAGGAACCCCAGAACTTCCATCCAACTTCTCATTTTATGAAGAAGGACACTGAGGGCCTGAGAGGCCTTAGAGCGAATTCATGTTAGAGCGAATTCAGGTCTAGAGCCAATTCATGTTAGAGGCGAGTCTAGAGCCCATGTCAATCACTGAGTCAATGTTCTCTTCACTTTAGTACATTTGTTTCATTCAGAAAGCAACACAGTATGGAGACTTCGTCCATCACAGTTACCATAAATACCTCCTTCGTTACCCATCAAGGTATATTAGTTTGTCCCTGTGCTCTGCTTTGAAGTTCCATTTTAATTTGAGACCTACTCCACGAATACTAAAATCCGTATAGGGTTCATTACCATTACATACCCAATAGCAAGTGGACAATGGTCCCTGGGACCCAGAGTTTGGCTACCTCTGCAATAGAACTACCATGGCTGGCGTAGCATATTTGGGAACAGCATGCACCACACCTCTGATATATTCCAGACAAATCCACAGAACTGCTATGATAAGCCCATGTCAACAGGGACACTACAGTTAGTGCCTGCCCCTTCACCAGACTAATGGAGTGTTGAGGGTTACCACAGGTAGAGTTAAACTAGTAGCTGCAGTTTATATATATTTTCAGTGACCTTGGAAATCAACAGTGCTTGGTAATCTTAGCTGAAACCACAAATGGTAACAGGACCCATTAAAGAAGAAGTAAATTAGATCCTCTATTTTTTAAAATGTGGTCTTCCAGGAAGCTGCCTCTGGACATAACTACAGAAAATTAACAAAATAAGTAAAGCATTATAGAAAGAGCTATTACCTGATTATACTAATAAAAACCAAATGGGGGCCTTAATTCTGCCCCTCTCGGAGAAAAGAACAGATAAAAACACCAGAAAAAGAATCTGGAAGAAAGGATAATTGATTTTAAACAATAATAATAGAGAAACCTCCCATCTAGTAAAAATAATAATAATTAATTTAAAAAATAAATCCAGATCTGTAGCTTCACTTTGGGAAAGACAGAAAAAAATTTTATTCTGCCTTGTTAAGCCCTTAGTTTGATACTAATGTGGGTGTTTTCCAGGCTAACAAACTGGAAAAATTAAGGCATGTTGACAGGGAAGTTCTTAAATGCCAGGCACATGGCCACAATGACTATTTTACTATATTATCAAAATGAGGAGGCCTTCCGGTCCCCCTCAGAGGAAGCTGAAATCTAAACATTCAGAGCTCATCAGGGTGGGGCGGAAAATGTGGGGTCCGGTAATATGTGGCGTTCACAGCAAAGGCCAAGCAAGACAGAGGAGGGGAACAAAAGGACAATTTAAGTTTCCACTGCCTTGGACAAGAGAGGCTTGGAGGCCTTTAGAACCCACCCCAGGTCCTGTACCACCTGTGACTAAATCCAACCATTCTTGGGGCTAACTTTATGTAAAATTTCACAATAAAAAAGGGTCTTTTGTTACCTATCACATGCCCATACTCCTGCCTGCAAATCTAGCCAGGAGCTAACAGTTTCTCTTAGTAATTGATTACTAGGTGCCAAGGGTCCTAGTAGACACTTTAGAGATTTTGTATCTCATTGTGGTGTTGTTTTTAAGGCAGGTGGTGATTCCCAGTTGAGAATTGAATAAATGGAGGCTCAGAGTGATATAGTGATACCTCCCATGGCTCAGCCTGGCCCACCCAAAGGCTCACACCCTTCTCCCTCCCCGTAGGAACCCCAGCACTCTTACTCACTGGAGCTGCTCTTCTCTACTTCAGTCTATTTTCACATGTTGTTCTAACCAAGCTAACCCATGGAACCAATCCTTTTTGCAAGGCATATGCAAAATCCCAGGTTATTTTTGCTTTCCACTGGCAAAAAGTCAGTGAATTCAAATGAAATGATAATTTCGATGTGAGAAAATAGTTTAGCATTTTCTCAAAATGCAAACATTAAAAAAAAAAGTCTTACGCAATACACTAACTTTTAAGCTGGCAAAAAATAGCCTAGTAGTTTCATAAGATGTACTAAATAAAATGATAGTGGTTCAGATTTCTAATGAACGTGTTGGTGTGAGAATGGAAGAAGGCTCTCCCACAATAAAATGTGGGTGTTTCAACTGGAAAAGAAGCATCCCTATTGAGTGACAGGGTTGTCTGTTTAGAAATAGAACACTCTTGTGTATAAAAAGAGTAGGCTAGATATAGGCATAGAGAGCTGGGAGATATAAAGGCTGACCAATGAATAGGGGGTGCAGGAGGGAGACTGAAATTTGAAGCCAAAAATCCATCCTAAGAGCCAGAGAGCCTCAAAAATACAATGTATGCAGGCCTTCATAGTCAGTAATGAAATATTGGAGGCATTGAAAAAATTCCAATTTGGAAATTATTCCAAAAATAATTTGGAAGTTCTAATCTTTTGCAATAAGACGGGAAAAAATGAAGAAATGATATACATTGCAGGAAGGGGACAAAATTACCATTATTTGCAGATGATGACATTTACCGAGATGGCTCCGGAGAATCAATTGGCAAGCTACTTGAATAATAAACCAATAAAATGACAAATACAAAATAAAAATACAGAAGTCAATAACACTTCAGCAAACAGTTATAAAATGTAAAAGAGAAATTGTATTCACAATAGCAATGAATAAGTCTGATTCTGCATTAAGAACCCACATGAAGAACGTAGAGAAGTTCAAATGAAAAAATTACTGGGAAGGCATGCTTGAATTCTGAGAAAACTCAGAAAACTCACAAAAAGACTTCACCTCCCCACACAGTAATGTATAAATTGTAGTCTTTTTCACTTTGAACTTGATGAGTTCTTACAGAATAACAAACAAGGGAGCATAACCCAGGAAATTAATTGTAATAAGAACTTGGGTTGCTGGATATGAAGGCATATTCTTAAATTGCAATAGTAATAAGGGAAGGTTTTGGCAAAAGAAATGATGAAGACATAAAGATAATGAAATAAAATTTTGAAATACAGCAATAGGCCTAATAAAATACAACATTTAGCTCAGTAAGGAAAAGAGGTTTTAGTGAATAGATTCTGACCACACAGACCAAAATAAATTCCAAATGAATGAGAGATTCAAGTGTTTATAAGAGTAAAGAGCTATAAAGGCACTAGTATAAAATATAGATTGATATTTATCTGGGGTGGGATGTAGAAGGCCTTTTTTAAACATAAAAGCAAAGGAAAATATTTAGGTATGTAAATTCATAAACATGTACATTAAAAGTACATTAACAATTAACAATCAGAAGGCAAAATAGGATGTTTGTAATGAATGATAGCAAAATGGTTAATAAGGTTAATAGGGAGAGAACTTATACAGTTTAGTGAAAAGCAACTTTTAAAATGTTGAAATAAATAAAAATAACAGGCCAATCATATACATAACCCAAGACAAACAGCCAGGAAATGTGGAGGTTAGCACCACAAATCATCAAAGAAACAGAAATCATACTAGGAATCTAAGTTTCTTACCTTAGTTTGGGAAGAGTTGAAGATGGCTTGTGAATTCTGTAGTCTCATTCACTGCAGGTGGGAATATAAATTGGCATAAATACTTTGGAGGGTAATGATGCAAATCATAGTCCCCCAAAAAAGGCGTTGATCCAATAATTTCACTTACAGTAATTTCCAGAGGAACTGGAGATGCACACCTGGATTGTTATGAAGGCAAAAAGTGACAGACAACAAGGAAATCTAAATGGAGGTCAAATGAGTTATGACACCTGCAAATAAGGACACATGATGCCAACACAAAAAAATTATGTTTCACAATAGTTGCAACAATATAAGCAAATATTTATTATGACTTGTCAGAGGGGAAAACCAGATTCCACAACAGTGGATTACAGCAGGGTCTCTCAATCTTACTTTTCCAACATGCAAATATGTGCATGTAAAAAAGTACAGGCAAAAGATTAGAAAATGTCTATCAAAGTGTTGACAATGACTATACTCAAGCAGTGGGACTAGAAGCAATTTTTATTTACTTCTTTGGGATTTTCCATAATTTCCAAATATTCTGCAATAGACATATATCATTTCTGCAATCAAGAAAAAAGGTTTCCTTGTGTGTGTTAAATCCTACTTTGCCGGAAGGGTGGATGTGTAAGGTCGACTGGAGAGGATGCTGCAAGCGACCCAAGAGGAACGCGGGCTGCACAGCCTGTGAGGCTACCCCTTCACCTTATGCTGGCTTTTTCGTTGCTGTTCTTCTTTATCTGTTCTCAGGAAGTTTGCAGCTTCCCAACACCATTTTATTTGCTCCTCCTGTGAGTGACAGAGCAGAGTGTCCCGACAATACTTAATGTATTTTGTGTCTGGGGCCTGTGGGTCAGCAAGGTTATTAATAAACATCGCCTCTTGTTCTAATTTAGGTCCCTTCTCGCCTTCGTGTCTCTCCTCCTGCCCTGCTTTTTCCTTTTGTTTCTCTCTCTCTCTGACCCTTTTCCCTTTCTCCCTGATAGAAAGGATCCTGCCTTTATTTTAGCTCCACTGCTGGCACTTTTCCCATAACGCTTTTCTGAGGTCGCTGCTGGTCCTGTCAAGTTTTCGAGGGGAATTTAATTTTTGAGGAAATGCTCCGTGTCCTAAATCGATTCGATGCAGGCTGATGCGATGCTATGATCCGACATGCCCAGGGGAGGGGAGGGATGAGGAACACGGAGGCAAAATGTGCGTGAGCAGAGGGAGGGCCTTGTGCTGTGAAGAAGAATTTCTGTTGACCAGGATTCACTGACCACCGAGTTAGCCAGACATCAGAGGCCTCTAGGATATAACAGGAAGTGAAGCTGAAACACAGAAGGCAGCTGTGAATTTTAGTATTTTTCTATTACCTTCGATAAGACAAAAAGAATCTAAAGAGTCCACCATGTATATTTGGATGTTTTTTATCCACTTTATTTTCTGTTTAGAGTTGGATTTGCTACTGAAACTTATATTACAGTAAATCTTATTTTCTTTTTGCTGATTTTATGACACAAATAGAAATGGCTGTATTGTCATCCCCGCTACTAACTTCTGACACACACACTCTTCAAAGCCCCTGAATTTGTATAAATCTTGTCTAATTTTTTTTTTCACTTTCAACATTGTCTGAATGCAACTTTGAACCAGAGATGATTACGTTGGGAACTGAAAGAAGCCAATTCCTGCACAGACACACACACACACACACACACACACACACACACACACACACACACACACACACACACACAAACACACAAATTTGCATGAGCTCTTTCCAAATTTATTCAACTTCAGTTGTGAGATTTTTCTAATAAACAATATTGAATCTCTTACCAGAATTCTCAGAGAATTACATGGGCCAAGGGGGGTTTACTTAATAATGATAAAGCAATATTTTATGGGAGAAAACATGTACAAAAAGTGAATGATTCTCTGTTGAATTATTCGTACTTTTTAAATTAACCTATTGCACCTTTTCCTGCTCAAGAACACATCAGGTTTTAAATGTGACCCAGACTACCATTTTTAGAATGAGTGAAAGACTTTTAGAGTGATGTAATTTGTAAACACATTATTAATGCTACTCCAAACTTGGGTCCTCACATTGAAGAAATGAAGAAATGACAGGGAAGGTGAATTTATTTGGGAGATAGTTTTCTGTACCTAGATTTATTATCATGAAACATGCTAGTTTTATAGCATTCATGGAATTGCACCCGGCTTTTGGTGTCTCCCAAATTAATTAAGAAAATCTATGTGAACTTTGAATGAATTATGCATTCAACTTCTTAAAATGGTCACTGGTAACCACTGTACATTAACAGCCAGAGAGGCAGGGATCCTGAACTTAGCTAAAATCTCCATTGGAAGTAGCCATTAATCAGATTTGACTGAATGTCTAATTTAGGTCCTTGCCTACTCTTTATTTTTTTCCATTTTCCTTCTGAATAGCTCATTCTGATCTGTTCTATAACAACAATGAAAGGATGAGTACAGTTTTCAATGCATTCTGTTAAATGTGTGGCCCTTTGTCACTCATGGGATAATATTTAATTAAAGTTACTCTCTTTAAAGGCAGTCTTTTTCTTAATACATAGGCTCACATGAGTGTTAACTGATTAGGCTGTTGGGGGGGGGAGAAGAGAGGAGGAGGAGAAGGAAGCTCGTGTTGAGTGACTGCTGTGCACTGCACAGTGTGACATTAGCAACCATTTATTCAGTGGAGGTTTCTACACCATGCTAAGTGCTTCGCACATCTGTTCTGGTGTTGTCCTCACAACATCACAGTGAAGAAGATAATGTTAACCTCAGGGTGCCAACGAGAAAACTGAGGCTCTGAGATGGTAAGCAACTTGCCCGAGACACACAATGAGTGTGGCACAAAGCAGGGATTCAAAACCAGGCTCTGCTTGCCAAACGTACAGCACGCTCGATGATTGTGAATGGACCTCAGTGTTGACAGCGGTGAGGGCTCAGAACAGAGATTATATCCTGGGGTTTACTACAGGTGGAGCTTGAGGTCACATCAGGAGCAGGTGACACCTGATCACTTCCAAGGTGTGATGTCGGGGATGTCAGAAAGGTCAAGAAAGATCTAACCTAAAGAATCACATTCAATAACATGGTGTAAAACATGAAAGGACAAATACAGCAATGTTCCTATAAGCATGACAACATGTATGTCATATAAAACACACAACACTGCAGACCTTCAATGGAAAGGCTAGTGACTTTCAAGAGCTGGGCATCTTTGTGTCCTTGTTTTGTGTATTTTATATATTCTATATTTAAAAAGGGTTATTGGTCCCAAGATGTTCCTTTAAATTTTGATAAATGTTCTGAGGGTGACCTGTGGGGAATTTTTCCCTCACATAATAAGGTTGGATGCAAAGCATGGTTTTATGCCCTGTAGCAGACCATTTATTTTTCCATGCCCATTCTGTTTTAGCTGCTTGCAAGTCCCAGTCTGGGATCAGCAGGTTATGGGACGAGGACCGTGTGGTGAGCATCAAGCTACAGTTCTTAATGCTCAAGGGATAAGATTTCTTATGAAAACCGGCAGCTTTTTTGTTCTTCCTCAGCCTTTTTAACACACTGCCAGGTCTCTCGGTTTCACTACGCCCGCTGTGGTTGTGACTGTTCTAGGCTAAATTTATGCCGCTGACAACTCCTATTGAAGTGCCCGGTGGTACAGAGTCAGTGGGAGTTGTGTGTATATAAGCTCGGCAGACCTTGGCCCGCTGAGTGTAATAGCATATCTGCCTTGAGAGATTATGGGTATGATACAGGCAAAGCGTAATGGATAGGGCAGTCTGTGTACAAATTTCAAATGACTTGCTACACCCCTTTAAGATGGTTGCTGTCAAAAGTATTAGCACTTTACACACACAACAACCACATATCATATTACCCGTGGCCCCTGCTCCCACAAAGCGGCTCCTCCCTCGTCTCCCAGCAGGTAATTGCTTCAGGGGTACCTATTGAACACACACAAAGGAGAAAACACTGGTGAATTTTAGTCTTTGAGCTCAACTATATTAACATACAAGGAGGAAAAATACCGAACGTGTTTAAATTAGCATAGGCAGAAGTTCAAAGGCAAATCACATGTAAAAGATACTCTGAAAGATTTAAATTTTCAGCCGGATGAGAACTTGATTTAACATACTGAAACTGAAGGGAGAAGAACATTGTGTTGCCCTGCACTTAAATCAAGACCTATCCTGATGTCTGTACTTAATTTTTGCTTGTTAACGGAAAGGTAGGGAGATGCAGAAACTTGCGTGCTGTGGATGATACTTAAAACATTTCATTTTTTTAGCATCTCTTTTTGAATGAGTTGGCCTGTGGCCGGGGCATCTATAAAAGCTTTAATAAAGATGGGACTAAGGACTACTAGCATTCTTTGGTTATGTTCCTTTGCATGCAACAAATAGACTGTCCCTGTTCAGTTTAGTGCGAGCAAACTAAGCCGAAGCCTTTTTCTTTTCCTGCATTGAGAGTGGACGTAAGCGTGTGTGATGTTTTCTGGCCTTTCATGCTGTGTGGAGACCTAATAGATCAGCATCTACCTAATGATGATTGTTCACAGAAAATTAGCAGCAAAACAACCGCCAGGATGATAGGCTGAGGTTGAAATATACACAACTCATTTCGTGGTCAGGATCCTTTTCATAATACTACTGTAAATGTGTTAGCATTAGGAACCGTTGTATTGATTATATTATCTGCTTGCATCCAGTGTCTAGAACACTGTGGGAACATATCTGTCCATATACACAATACATTAGCCCCAAATATATTTGAGGCACAGTGTGTCTCACAGATATAAATTGGATATTATCCCTGTCTTTAAGGATCTTGCCTTGATTTATTGCCTTTGTACAGTAAAACGTGCTACGTGCCTGTCGCTAGGCTAAGTGCTTTACATATACTAACTCATTTAATCATCAAAGCAACCTTATATGGTAACTATATTACTATCCCCATCTTACAGATGAGGAAATTCAGGCCAGATAAATCAATATGCCCAAAGCCGCACACCTAGTGTACTGTCCAACCCAGGATTCAAAACCAGGCAAATCTAGTTCCAGAGAACAATACCAACCGCTGCTTGTGAGCTAAATGAAAAAATAAATCTGTAACTATTTTCAACATAATTACTTGTGACATCAAAGATTCTGGAATCCCCAGGAACCCTGGCTTCTGCAATCTAGAGATCGGTGATGGAGCAAAACTGTAAAAGACATGCTAAAGGACCAAAAGATGAAAGAGACAGAGTCTAAAAGCTACCAAAAAGCCAAAACAAAACGCAATTTAATGGGGATAAACAAGAGACTTTCTCAAATGCAATAAATCCCCTGTACAAGCCCTAGATGATTGAGATCTGACTCCATGACATGGGGCTCCTTCCTGACTCAGGGCTCTGTTTAGAGCTAGTCACATGATTCAGTGGACAGCAATGGTCACAAGATTTCTAAGCATTTTCTTTGTTTCTGGGCACATCTGAAGAGACTCTGGCAAACTAAGGCTGACTCAGGAGAACAAAGTCTCTGAATCCCTGTCATATGGGGGACTGGGGAATTTAGCCAGGAAAGCAAAAGTGGTGTCTTGAGAGGGTGGGGGGAGAATGAAAGTCACCTGCAAGCATTTGAAAGTCTACATATGGTAAAGGGATGAGGTTCAGTTGTACTATTTCTGAGGACAGAATCTGACCCATTAGAAAGATGCTCCAGAGACACAGCTTTTTGCTCCTACAGAAGGAACAAGACTTCCTTTAAAAAAATGCTCCCAATAGCGGTATCTTATCGAGAGTGAGTGCTAGCCCTTCCATCTTTCCAGGCAGCTGGCCCTGGCCAAACTGGCAGCCTCTGTCCAGACCGTCACACGTTGACGCTACCTGCCCTGAATCTACAACTCCTGGAAGCTGCTGACTCGGTGTCTACCTGACCGTCTGCCCTTCTCCAGACTTGTGGTGTCAGACTTCTGGAATGTGCGCCACTGTTCTCCAAGCTTCCTTCCTAGGGAAAAGATTCCATGATTTCTTCATTCCATCATGGAGCCTGGAATTCCAAAACATTTTTAAAACTGGTTATCCCTGTTTCGTAGATGTAGAAATATCAGAGGGCTTGGGTAACCAGCAGAATTAGAGGCAGATAACATCTCCCCTCTCACACCTAGAATCCTGCTCACACTTGAATAGGTACTTGTACACAACCAACCTTAGCATTGTGACAGAGCAACTTAGTCCTAACCTTATTCTAGAAAATTGGTCTGGTCCCCAGTGGCCACTATATCATTTAGCTGAGAGCTTACTATCATTTCTAAGTTAATTTGTGAGTTAATTATAAATGCCAGGAAGCACTGACACTGCAGAAAATGGTGAATTGTTGAGATAAACCAGGGTCAGAAATATCCAAAATTGAAGAGTCAGTTGTTGGTCAGTTTTTAGCAGACAAATATGTTGACATGCGAAGGGTCTGGAATGGCATCACATGAGTTGCCTCAGAAGACAGCCCTCCAGTAAGTGGACACTGGATTATTGGGTAAAAAATACTTCTCACCCCTGAGATTCCCATAATCCTCCACAATCATGGTTTCAATCATGTTTTCGTCTAAAGGACTCTCCAACCTCTAGAATATTAAAGAGAAGAGCTCGGTCTCTGTCTGTGGGTATTTCCAGTTTGATGGTTTCAATGTGGTATTGAGAGCCTTTAAATTATAAAACTCCAAACACATATTATGCATTCCGGTTATCGGGAAAACAATGACTTGTCTTTTCCACACCACTGCGCTTGGCAGGCCTGCTTCAGGAATAGATGCCTCCCATTTCTTCTTGCTGTTTGACCTCTGTGGTTCCTTTCCCCCTGGCAGGGTCAAGCCCTTAACATCAGGATTATGTTAAAAGAAAGACGAATATTTTAAAAAAAAAAACTTCTGGAATTATCAGGGCTATGCAAAGGGAGGACTGCTCTTCCTTTTTGAAAAGAGTAACCTAAATCTCAAGCCCAAATGATTCAAATCTCTATCAGCCTCTGAGTTTTGGCCAGATACCTCTTTTTTGCCCGCAGTGGCTGTATTTGCCACGATCTATGTTGAATCAGTCTCAGCAGTGAGACTCTCTGGGAAAAACTATCAGTATCTACCATTTGTTACTGATTATTCCACAGTATACTGGAAAATGGAGTTAATTTGGAGTGCTATGGTAATTAAGCAAAAGCCGTCAGAGCCTTCATTTTCTAACTTTTTTTGCAAAAAGTCATTTTTCTGAGGGGTGGCACACTGAAAAACCGCATCCTGACTCATCATACACAGTCAATTAGAGCCTTCCCTGAGTGATAAAATCCATGTTTTCCTTGCAGGGAATCTATGTGTGAAGCGCCTTACCTGGAAGACAATGTGCAGGTCCCCAGTCATTGAAGTTTTAGGGCAAGTCACGACAGGGCTTTTCCATCCTCTTTTCTCCACACTCAGACACACAGGTCAAAAGAGAAGTCAATCTCAGGCTGAAATTTCTGTAATTTACAATCTCCAGCTTGTGGGCCAGAGCCAAACGGCTCTTGGCTACAAAGTGTAAACAGAGCATTGTTGCTTCTTAATCTGGGTAATTGGTCCCAAATGCTGTTGCCACTTTTCAGATCAAATGCTTTACATACTTTTTAAAGAACCTGGAAGTTTTCTCCTTTGGCAGGAAAAGGTTTGGAGCGTAACTTCGTCTTTTCATCAGTACTAAGACTCCTGTAAACAGCCAGGTGATTTCATTTGGTGGCCTGTAAACACAGGAGGCTTGGGGCCTGCCTCCAGAGCTCCATTCTGTTTTTCGAAGGTTCATGCATCGAAGGTTTGCTCCCACCTCTGAGCGGACTTCAGCGCTGTCAGGTCCTAGAGGATGCCAACCAGCTCTCAGAAACCAGGCTGTGTCCATTCCAGCATACTGTGTTCTTGATGGTTCGTTTCTTGAGGGTCATGCACAGCAATGAACTTGGCCTAAAACTAGTTGTTTTATGACATCATCTTCTCGGTAAAATACTGGGGAGGCTGCATGAGAGAAGCCAGTGTGTGGGAGGAAACCATGTTTGGGAAGACTCGGGGACTATAGGCTATGTGACCCTGGGCAGGTAATATGACCTCCTTAGCCTTGGTTTTTATATCTGTAAAGTGGAGATAATAATATATACCTTGCAAACTCATTATGAGGATTAAAGGAGAAAGTGAGTATAAAGGTTATGGGGGTACTCCACATATCATTATGATGTAAAGTATTTTTTAAACCACACTTTTTAGCCTATCTTTTCTGCTTCCACCTACGCAAAACAGAGAACAGCTTTTTTTCCACCTCTGTGACGTCTCCGGCTTTGGCTTCAGTATGCTAAGAAAAGATACCGCTTTTTTTATGGGACTTGCAAGACAAAAAAACAAGATCTGAGTTCTCTTAATTTGTTTTTCTCTTAGACCCTCGTCTTTACCTATTTCCAGTCTCCCTCATGATATTTTTACGCCTTTGTTTTTCTTCTAAATATTTATAGAATGCTATTGAGTTCTGTATTTACTATGGCTTATCCAAGTTTTAGTTCTTTGGTTCTTTGGATCTTTTCTTCCCAAGTCAATTTCTCACCCTGTCACTTCTGTACTTTTTTTTTCTTTGAATTCCACTCAATTTGTCTCTATCTCTTCAGCACCACAGTGTCCTATATATGTAGCATTCCAATTGGAAGCTCAGCAAAAACATATGGGAGATTCCCAATGTCAACTCCCTTCCCCACTTGTGGAATAAGAAGATAGGCCAAGAATAAGTTTCATCTAATTTGGCTTTTCCCATCAAATTTACTACTGTTCTCAGTAGTTAAAAAATGGGATAGTATCAAACAACCCCATAATTGTATTTTCTCTAGGGGAGCTGTATGGCATTCGGCTTCAGTACAGAGATTCCAGAATGAAACATCCTAGTGATCAAGTCCCTTTTAGGAGCTGTGTAATCTTGGGTAGGTGACATAACTTCTCCAGGCCTAGTTTTTCTCGTCTACAAAATAGAGATATTAGTATTTATCTGATACTCTTATGGTAAGCCAAGTTGAATTAATACATGAAAAGTGTTTAAAAGCAGTGCCTAATTATGCTCAGCACTCAAGAAATGTTAGTTAACAATCTTTCATCTATATTTTCCTTTTTAAAAAATCCTATATGTATTTAATTGTCAATTTCCCTTCTGTTTCTCATGTTTGGTCATCTTTCCACAAACATCATTGAAAATTTGCTTCATATACTGTTCTGTTCTGCTTCAAAACATTATAGAAAATGTGAAATAAAATAAGACAAAATAGCAATTCCAGAAATGTCTTCCAGTTCTCTTCCCCTAGCCCATCATATATTCATAATTAGCTAAAGTGAGATGAAAGTTTTATTATGAACCTAACACACAACTGTACTTTGCCCTAAAGTTAGTGAGTCTGGGTTCGGTTTAGGGAAACCTGGTTTGAATTTTAGGTGAACCTCCTTTCTACTCTCACATGCTAAGAGAGGATTTATAGTTTCAGGTGGATACCAAATGAAATTGGGTAAGTTCATCATCATGAGTTTTACTTTGGGTTTGTTATTTGAATGAACTCAAATTTCATGCAGCCTTAATCCTTATATTTATGGGTTTTCTACCACTTTCACCTCAGTTGATAAAAAACAAATTTTAAATAAAAATTGAGACATACCATTCAGTATTTGAGAAAATTACAATATTATATAGCATGTGTGCATTTCTTTGTCTCAGTAATAAATGACTATGAGTGAAATATATCTTGTATAACATGTGCTTTAATGAGTCAAGCTATTTTTCCAAATATTTCCCCTTTCTTTCATACTGTGTTTACTAGACATGAAATTCCAGACTGACCAGAGGATAATTAACAAAATTATCTATTTCTGTCAACATTTAAAGATCTGTACTACATCATTTTTTTATCCTCAGCTCAGTTAAACTGTGACTTTAAAATCAAATTTGTATAATTTAAGTTTTCTCCATTTTTGCATTTCATCCCTCAGAAGTCAGAAGCCCAGACTTTAGCTAATTTTCTCAAATTATATGCTGGAGTTTTGGGGAGATTTAAGGATAGATATGTCAAAATGATAGGTTCAGAGTTTGTGATTGATGGTCTTGTACATATAAATGATATATGCCCATTAGATAAAGGAGATTTCTGGGATGAGAAGATTAAACAAAAGCGAGCTTACAAAAATGTCTAAATCCTACATTTACAGAGATAGGGGCAACATCATTCCAGTTTCTGTTTTATTATAAGAAAATAATCTTATTTAACTTACATATGGAAATTCATATATTAATGAGCTGTGAAAAGGTTGTTTGCCTAAAAGTGCATTTTTCATTCCAGCAGTTAAGTGGAAGTTTTATAGTTGCATTACTTTCAGCATCTGCCTTTTAATTCAAGCTTATTCCTGAGTTAAGATTTTTTTTTTACTTAAAATACATGCACTAGGTAAAATTCATCCCAAATACTATTGATGCCTTTATATAAATTGACCACATTTTGTGTTATTTAAAAATTTAAAATCTGAAAACAAAAAAAAGGTCATGGGTTTTTTTTTTCCTTCTAATCTGTAGTCCCCAAATGACTGCTCATAAAAACAAACTTTACAACATCTTTGAGAATCCCAAAGAACCCTGGTCAAGATATTTTTGGCTAGAAAAGAAAGCAGTTTTGATATTCAAAAATTTGGCCCCCCTTAGTCAATCCCCAAAAGGGAAAAACCAGCTAATCTTAGAAAGATGATAAATTTAAGCGATTCTCTAATCCAAGTGAGTCTTCAATCATGTTTTGAAATACGATCAAACAGTTAAGGACTGGGAAGAGACAAAGTTTTCAAAATAACTCAAAATAGAAAAATCGAGCACTTCTTTAAGCGGTGTTTCTGCTTCTAAATCAGAGAATGAATAGCATCTTACTGGAAAACCCCAGCAAAGTTTGTGCTGGCATGCCCACTTCACGGTAACAAAAAAGAGAGAGAAAGAAAAGAAATCCACTTAACGTATTCTATTACCGGATCACTTAAAACAGTATTAAGCATCATATATTTGCTGGCCAACTATTCCAGGTGTCATCCTAAACAGCAAGTCAGCTAAATATGGACATATCTATACACCTTTGCACAGACTCTAATGTTAACTCATACAATAACTCGGCAGGCACGCACGCTCGCACACGCATGCGCACACACAAACACACAAGCACGAAACCTGACCAGGCTTTGCTCGGATCCTTGATAACTCTGGCATATTGTAAGCCCTGGAAAGAATTTTAATCTACATGGTTTGAAAATAGGGGCCTTTTAAATATGCTGCAAACAATTTGTGATGGTCATCTCTAAAATGCTGCTCCATTATCCTTTTCCATTTGGAATGAATGAGGCTAATTAATTTCAGGCCATACTTGATGAGGTCAGCACCATACGAGGGGTGCGTGCTAGACATTGCTAATCTCTTTCAGCTGAGAGTGATGAATTAAAGATGAAGCATGCCTTTGCAGGCCTAATTTAGAATGTATATCAAAAAACCTACAGCAAATAATACTATACGCTACAACAAAGGAAAACTTGTTCTCTCAGGCTCCCTGAGTTGTGTTCATTTTAAAGACATTTTCAGTCCTCTTTGGAATTCCAGCTGTGGATGGGTGAACCATATCAAGAAATCAACCTCTCTCTCACACATGGCCATGTGGACAAAAAAGCAGGATTAAAGGAAAGAAAAAAGAAAACAAAAACAAAATACAACAATCAGGGTTTGATCCCTTGTGTATTAAAATTCTACCTACACACTGGGCATTTTCCTTTTTTTCTTTTTTTTTTTTTTTTCAGAGCTAGCAGAATGACAAACATCCCAAATTGCCAATACCTGTATTCAAGCAATGACCACCCAGCTCTGCCGGGGCAGCGTGCTAAATGAAGCAGCCTGTTGTTTTTAAAGCAGATATCCTAATGAGGCTTATTAGGTTTTTCCATGTCTCTATTTTGAAAGCCAATAGAGATTGACCAGGTAGATAATGCGATACCTTTTATTAAGCCAAGAAAGAAATTGTAATACAGATAGATGCCTCCAGGCCAAAATGTTCTTAGGAAAGTTAATGCCAAGTCAACTTCCGTGTTGTGAAAAGGGAGGTATTCACTGATGTAAACTCTGAAGAGGAGAAGGAATTAGTCATAAGTTCTCAAGGATGATTATTATAAGTCCCTAAGGGCGACAGGAAAGGTGTTCAGCCCAGAAACGGGAGAGAATGCACCTTGCAAAAAGTATTACAGCGTATCTAGCAAGAGAAACCCTGACAGATTATTCTAATGAGCCGGCATTTCTAACTGGTAGCCACAACAGCTCCTGACTTTGTATCCCAGTAGCCCTCATTAGAACAAAGCTGCTTCGAATTAGGTCTAATCTACATGCTGAATCAATCTTTCATCCCTTTGATTACTTCTGAAAATATTTATATTTCTTAATAATGCACATTTTGTCTTACAACTTCTGATTAAACCCAGACGAGTGTTCCCAAAGCAGGCCATGTATATGGAAGGGTGATCTGGGACAAAAAAGGGAAGATTAAAAAAAAAAACAAAAACAGGTTTTTCCCATTGGAGAACCATTAGAGAATAAAGATCTAGCAATTTTGGTTATGGAAGCATCAGAGGAGGGTTGTAATAAATACAGGTTGGAGTATTATAGTGACCTAATGGAGATTACAGCAGAGTCTTATTATTATGGGATTATTCATTGCAGCTTGGACTATTTGGCTGGATAGCTTAATAGATTTTTATGATAGAGAATTGGGGGGCAGTTTAGGAAGATTTCATATCACAGCAAATAAGAACTCCCACTAAGGATCAGATCAAAAAATAGAGAAACAGTTCTAATAGAGACATGACCTAGATGATCTGAAATATGCTTTTTGTTGAATAAGGAGCAGAGTCACTTGACCTCTCCAGACCTCAGGTCTTTCTTCTTGCTTTTATCTGGGAAATAAAGGAGCTGAAGTTTTTCTTATAAGTTTTTTAATTCTATGGTTTTCCAGAGTTGTTGCATCTTAATTATGCAGGGCTCTCTGGAGGCAGAGAGGAAGAAAATGGAGACCTCATCCAATGCTTGAATGTTTCTAACGCCAGTCTTGAGAGATGGAAGCCACATCTTCTCAAAGTGCCCTGCAGGTCTCCCCAGAGAGACTGTTGCCTCTGTTCCCCCCACTTCTTTCTGTTTAGACACCATGATTGAAGGAAGCACCCAAAAGGAATGCCCATAGTTTCATTTGACCCAACCACCCCATTTTAGAGAAGAGGAAAATAAAGGCCAAATACATTAAGGTTACATACCCCGTAACTGGTAAAGCTAGAATTCAAATCCAGGTCTCCTTATTTCCAAAGCAGGCTCTATTCTGCTATGACACATGGCCTCAGGGTCCGAGGGATTTTTATATTCCAAAACTCAGTAGGATTTCTGGTAACTACTCAGTACAGTTGAAGATTCCCTGCAATTAGAAGCAGGGATAGGACAGTGGGTTCGGATGTAAACTTACTAGATTTGAATAACATGTCCCCAGTTTACTAGCAATGTGAGTTTCTGTAAGTCTCTAAGCTCTGTAAACTTGGTGGGTTTTTTTCTCTCTTGGAAAATGGAAATAATAACAGTATCTAGCTCAGAGACTTATACAGAGATTAAATAAAATAACGTGTATATTTACCATAGTTTTGGTATATGGAAAACATTAGCTGCTATTAGTATCATTATCTTCTTCTTCATTTACATAATGACTTGCAGTGAAGAGACCCTGAAAGGAGCCTAGGAGACAGAGGTATGAATTCTGACTGTGTTCCTCTTACCTCTATGGCCTCAGGTAACTCTCTGAGCCTCAGTTTACTCATCAGAAAAGTGAGAATTCAAAATATCTGCCTGTGCAGGATTTCAGTAAGAATCAAATGAGTTATGCATGTGAGATGACTTTTTAAACAGGTAGCACCCTATAAAAATACAAAGGTTGATGGTTTTATCAAAATATTATCACTCCTGTTTTGGAAAGCCTCTAGATGCCTAGAGTTGGTTAACAGATAATAAAAGATGTAATGCCAGTTTTGTTTCTCAAATAAATCACCTTAGGAATCAGATGTATGAAACACCATTAAATAATAAAAGAATAAATTCATTTCCTCTCTTATCACCATCGTCCCCTATTTAACCTGCTCTGCTGTTCTGTACATAAACTTGCAATTTGCTCAGTTTTGTCTTACCAAAGGGTTAGATGACAATTAGGTCACAAGGACATAATTTAGAACAGGAAAACAGCAAACCCACTCTCTTCTTTGCCTTCCAAGTAAAAGAGAGAAATTCTCAAAACCAAGAAAACACATTTTATGAAATAATAAATGATGGCTTCCAAGAAACCTTCATACCCTCATTAAATACTATCAAATTTGCTATTGACCAGCTGTCCATTGCATTAAAAATACATTCTTTATTGATACAATTTTGTTTAAGCTAAGGAAGCATCGTGGGATGGGGAATTGTTTTCTGAGTGGGATTATTAAAACAGTTGAGGCCTAAAGGTGTATGTCTATTTTAAAAAGAAATTTTCTGATTGCAGATAACTTCTCAATTTGATTTAGTGTCGAACGATAGTGATGGGGTTGATAAGTGAGCATTCATCGGTAATTCATCTTGTGCTGGTAGAAATTTACAGCAAAGCAGTGCTTTCCCAACAGTGACAAGCCCTATTAATCTTCCTCAGACACATTTCAATAGGTGTTCCCATCTGTGGCCAACATCTAAACATTCTGGCATCACTGGCGACTTGAAGACACCTTCATTTCAAGTTACACTAGTGAAAACGTGATACTAGATTGTACTCAATATTTTAACCTAATTCTCTCTTTTCATTCAATTAGCCTTTCTTGCCTGGATTTTCTGCTCATGTTGAACATCATTTCCCAGGGAGAGCTCTACAAGATTTGGTTTCTTGAAGATGCACCGTCTCCCCCAAGGTTAACAACCAACAACTTTTTTGCAAATGAAAATTGCGTAGATTCCAATTCCGACAGTCCTTGGCCTCTGATTGCACATGTCCTTAGGAAGTAGAACCTGCTCAAAGCCCACGTGTGCATTGAGAGGGCTGAGGAAAAGGGGAAGGCTATAAAATCCATTTGTGTTCATATTCAGAAAGCAATTTATTATCCTGAACTATGATGTTTAATTTCAGTGCGGGGGAATGATGGGAAAGGGAGAGGCAATTAGCAGAGAGTGGTGAAAAAGAGGCCCAGCGTTCAAACAGCCACATTTACTCAACATATTCACTCCATAGGATAAAACCCCTCTCCTCTGCCTTTGCATCTGCTGGAGGACCTCCCGTTAGAGAAAGAAATACAATAATCACTTTAGGGAGAGATTATTTCACTTAAATTGCCTTTATTCTACAAGCAACATGCTCTATCTGGCTGCAAGGTTAGCCTAGGTGAAAAATGTGGAGGGAGTGTTTGATTTTGGATTGCACCTAAGTGCTTTTTTGTGTCATTTTCAACCTCATAATGGGTTTGGTCTTGCAAAGAAATAGGATTTGAACAGCATTTTTCTTGTGCATTTTAGAGATCTTTCAAAAGGGAAGACTCTCTGACACATTCTTACTTTGGAAAGGTTAGATGTATCTGCATAATGAATGGAATTTTTTTTAACTTAACTGAACTTGTTTTGTCCATATTTGACCTCAAATGTGTTACTAACATGTGCATATATGTATAGACAGATCCATAAATGACAAAGATATGCATTCTCAAAAAAGTCTCCCTCTGTAACACAAGTTATTTTTCACAATAATCATTTGAGTTTGTTATAGATCTCAATAATCTTATTATAGATGGCAATTTTAAATGTGCCATATTAATAACTTGCTATCTGAGACAAATTAAGTCCTTACATGTCAAAAGCACTCGGCACTGGATTATCTACAAGACAAGTATTTATTGAATAAATGTTGAGTCCAATTTCATTTTAATGTGACTGACTGTATGTTTCAGCCTCTTAGGCAGAGATAAGAACACTCAGACCTATAACTGTGTTGCAACATTACACCTAACTTGTCTATTTCTATTATTGTCCCCTAACTTAGAATATGGAAAGAAAGAAAGCTTTTTTTTTTTGGAGGTTGTTCTGAAGAGCAAGGGGAGAGATAGAAAAACGGCTGGCATTCAGCCTAAAGAGAAATCATTGAAACAAATTAATCCTATGCCGTTTAAATTGACATGGTAATCCATCATCAGAGAAGGCAAACTCCGAAAGCAATCTAGAATCTGCCCTGCTCTTTCACTGGCCCTGGAGGCACAAAGACAGATAGTGAAGGAAGGAAGGGGGAAATCATAAAAGTTGGGAATGCCTGACAAAATAATAAAATTGCTTATATCAGCTCTCATTGTCCTGCCTTTGGAAAGGAGAGGTTAACTTTTAACACTTGCTTTCCAAAGTTTACCTCTAAGTGGTAGCTCTGCTCCGAGGGTCTGCCTCCATCTCCAGGTTCCCAGGCTTCTGACTGGAGTCTAACCACTCACTGCCAGCCGAGTTTAAAATGTAGACCACCTGGGATCTCTGGTAGCACTCAGCAGTCACACAGAAACTTTCCCTAAAGTGGTAAGGGGCTTCTTAGGTGGGGTTCTAAGACTGGGGTTTGGTTTTGTGTTTTGTTGTTATTTTGGTTTTTTGGTAGGTGAGAGTGGCAGGCAATATTTTTCTTCCTTTTTTCTCCTACGATCACCTTGTTTTGCACTTGATGAAAAAGAGTGTTATAATTTTTTAAGTAAAACTTTCACAACGTTCTTAAAAACTCAGGCAAGCCATCATGCCTTAGCTCTGATCTGGATCTTTTATTCTGGAGGCTTAATTCTCAAATCTTCCTTCACTTCAAAAAGCCTGTGATGATATGTTGCTAAAACTTGTTTAAATTCAAAATTTGTATATAAAATTGAAGTGTCCCATCTCGGTAGATAGATAAGAGGACTCTTCATTAAGAGTTCCATTATAAAAACAGTTAAGCCTGTATTTCCAACACTCTGATTCCTACTTCTGTTGTTTTTTGTTTTTGATTTTTCTCTCTCTCATTAGCTCCTATATGTAATGTTTTTGTTTTAGTTTGTTGGGGGAGGGGACTGTGCTGAACCTCACCTCCTCCTTATCTGGACATGCAAATTTAAACACAGAAATTGATGTTTTTCAATTTAATAATGCATTAAGCTATAAAAGCAAGACAATTTGAAAATATTTTTTGATCTCAAAAATCCACCCTGTTAACAATAGACAAGTGTGTGAAGACCAAAACCCAGATACCTTAGTGCCAAAGGCAAAGAGGCAGAAGGACATGAATATAAACCATACCCAACAGCTGTCCTATTGAAACTTATCTAGGACAGAGTTGCTTCTAGTTTATTAAGAATACTTTATATGTTGCTGAAGCTTCAAAGTAAACATCATGCCTCCATTCTATAATTAGAATTTTTATTCACTGGTTTTTAAAAGGAGGTGAATAATTCTTGCATATTGACTAATGCTTTTTAAAGTATGCAAGCAAAAAAGATAAAGGCATTACCAGGGTAAATAAGGGGAGAGTTAAAGGCTCTGATATAAAATATTCATCCATAGTCATGCCAGTTGTAATTTTGAGAGTTGGTAGGAAAGAAAAATAAGTTTAGGTGTTGTTTGTGCTTTTTTAAATAGAACCTCAGAAATTTAAATAATAGTTCTTCAATAACTGAACATTTGATAATGCTTTCTGAAAAAGATCTAATGTCTTTGAATTGGTTTTCAGTTTGTAAACAATGTAGACTTTAGCAAAATAGTATAAATTTTAAAAACCATTAAATTAACCAAAAATCATATTAAAAAATCAAGGAGTAAATGAGTGTGTCTTAGAGTCTATGAAGAAAAATATCTTTTTCACATCCCCAATTCCTCCCACCCCCTGATTAAATTTTACAATGCTAGCTTCTTTCTAATTGTGTGGTAATATGGCAACAAAATGAAAATCTGCAACATAAATTTCAGAGTCAATAAATAAGTTATTAACATACATTCTGCAAAGAAATGGGGTGTGTTACATTTTTAACTTCTCCCTGACATGTGATGTGATGTGGTCCTGTCAATACCCAATGTGACATTTCTCACTAAGTCAATATTCCCTTCCTTTTATGTTTTCACTTTTGCTTTAAACTATTTTGAGTGATATCATCTCAGTTTACCTGAATCAAGTGTTTCATAATCTCTTCAATAAGGCTGATTAATATATTATAAATTATAATGGTCAAATAGGAAAAGTAACTTTCTCTGTCCTATGCTTAAAATAAAAAGAGCAGTACACATTTTATTTAAATGTTTACACTTTTCAAACTCTCAAGCCGATACTTCCTATGGTAGAGAAGCTGTATATTATGTTAAACAGCCTCCTCTTAATTTTGCACAGAAGTCCTTTATTTTTAATGTGTGCCTTCAACATTTCAAGAAATCAGCCCTTGGTAAAAAGAGGCGAAATGCCATTGGTAATTAATTAAATATGTTTCCTAAATTCATACATGGTTTTCTATTATAACAGTGTGTCTGTCTGTCTACTTACTTCTCTAATTATATGCCTTATATTGAAACTGGGTTTTTTACCTTCTAAAAACTAATAGAGTAGAAATTAGTCCTTAAATTATTTTTCTCCTTCTGAAATTCCCTTGAATTTTTGACTAAAGGAAATCAATTCAGGTAAATCCCCTTTGTTGTTCTGTTTGTTTTTTATTTAAGTACACTGATGCAGCTAATTAACAATATTAATTTATCTGGATATTTGTCTTACTAACACCTTCCCATTTAAATGACTGGCACTTGATGCCATTTGATTAATGTTTTTTTTTGACATACCAAAAATGAACTGTCATTTTAAAGATTTCATTACCAGGCTCTTGAGAAAGAGAAAAAAATTATATAGAATCAGACAATCTCTCCTCAGTCAGTCCACTTCTGTATAAGAACTGATGTCCACATGGCTTTAGATGTCTTTAGAACTTTCTCAGCAGGAGTTACCTTGCAATATAATATTAAAAGCATATACATCATCCTTGGTAAAATGTGTAGCAAGTCCCTCATGCTAGCATCTCTAGCCAGAGCCTATTCTCTTTTAATTCCTCACTTCACTGAAAAGTAAAATAAATAGTAGCCTATCACTGAATTTTTAAATAAATGTATTAGGCTAAAAAGCTCACCTTTTGTTTAAATGCTCTGCCAAAACTACCACACTGAAAACTGATGGTTTTACTTTGAAGTGTCTTTCTATGATTCTGCAAGGCACAATAGCTTTACCATTACTGAGTTGCTTCAGCTTGTATTTCAACAATAGTCATTCCAAAAAGCTCATTCAAAACTCTTTTTTTTGCACTGCTTTCTACCAGACCCCCGACATGTACACATGAGTGACAGACTCTATCTAGTGCTTGAGTATATGAACCCTAATCCATCATGGAACTTCTAACACCATAAGAATATATACACACCCATGTGCATACAGATTCAAGCACATAACTATTGTATAACTACCAATTAAAATACCACCAGGTTTGAAGCCAAGATATATTTTCCTAATCTCATCCGGATTTTATGGCTACAATTTGGCAATTGACAAGATTCTAAATTAGCTTTTATTTAAATGCAAGGATGTAAAATACATGTTGGTTTGTTGGGTTTTTAAACCCTCTGCCACAATAATCTATTGTTGTGAACTGGGTGGTCAGTTAAATGGAAGAGAATATTTCACTACTTTATGTTTTCTTATTCCCTAAAGTCCATCCCCATGGAGTGAGATGATGGATGAGACTGTTGTCTCTGAATGGAAAACCTTTCTTAGGAAGGGTGGGGATGGGGGAGACCAGCGAAGAGCAGAAGACTCTAAAATCCTTGCAACTAGACAATTTACCCTTCCTTCCTCACTCCCTTCCTCCTTTCCTTTCTTTGCTACAGCCCCTTTGGTTTATTAGTGTTGTTAACCTTCGCACTGGCCAAGACCAAGAAGGGTTAAAAGAGACCCAGCTTCTGACAGCCTCCAGGTCAGCAATGCTCTGGAGCTTCCTTCCAAGGAATTAGAGGATTACCGTGGAAGGAACTGGAGGCACCAATCGCCTCACACCTGAAAACATCTCTCCAACCCACTGGGATTCACATTTTTAAAAAAAGAAAGAAAAAAAAAGTCTCCTTTCTGGAAAACGGTTAATTGGATCAGCAGTTATATTTCCTGGTGCACCGAGGAGTCAAGAAGGGCATCCTGAACCGAATTCCTCAAGCTGCCAAGAAAATCAAGCAATTTGGGGAGGGGGAGATAGATGATGATAGATAGATAGATAGATAGATAGATAGATAGATAGATAGATAGATAGATAGATAGATAGATAGATAGATAGATAGATAGATAGGCAGGCTATCTGCTTCTTCAGAGAAAAAAATTTAGGAAAAGGTCAGGAACAAGAAAAAGAAGAAGGGACGAAAAAGATTCTCCTCCTTTCTCACCTTCCACCCCTCTTCCCCTCCCCCCCCCCAAATTATTGCCTCCTTGATTATTTGCAGCTGTTTCGAACCTCAAGGTTTGTTCGCAGTAGCCAGCAAGACTCCCGCTTCCAGAAGTGAAAAGCCATTTTCGCGCCAGGACTTTGCTGCCTGAGTTTCGTGAGACGGTTTTCCTCTCCTTCCCAGCAAATTCCCTCCAAAGCCTTGCTAACTTCCCCAAGTCCTGCCAGCCTTTACACCTCCGTCGCTGTAGGCTCCTGCGCCCAGCCTTGGGGCCACAGACCGACTGCCATCCCTGGGGTATGCCTCGCTGCCCTCAAAGCTGACTTCCCGCCCTGGAAAGAATGAAAGACGTCCTGGGGGCCCCGTTGGTGTGCGTCACCCTGCCCCTGCCTCCCTCCTCGGCCCCAGAGTTCTGCCCACCCCACCTGCCCAGGGGCCCCGAGCCTGGAATCCACTCGCCCTGCGGTCCGCAGCGGGTTCCGCCACCCGGCGGCCGCCCTCGACACCGGGCGGCTGGGGAGGGAGAGGCAGCCAGCGGGGCTGGGCCGCTGCGTCCTCTTTGGGAACATTAAAGGAGACCAGGGGCAGAGGTTTATTAATAGAAAGTTAGGGGAACTGCGGGTCGCGGCTGGGGGAGAAACGCAACCCGTGTGGGCCACACCTTTACTCCAGGAGGCTGTCGAGAGAGATCGCTTCGTGCGGAGACCTGGCAGCATCCCCGCTCCGGGGCTGCCAGCCACTCCCTGGCCACCTGGCCACAACCACTGACGGCGTGGAGCCTGTGGCTCCCAATTCTTTGGCCACGCGGCGGCCCGCGCAACCCTCACCGGGCGCCGGCCTGGGAAGCCCGGCGGCGCTGGACTCCCTCCCGCTCCCTGCGCCCTCGCGTCTCCCGTCGAGGAGGGAGGGACGGAGGCCTGGGCTGGGAGCTACCTGGCGGTGGTCCGGCCGCCCCCCTCGTGGCCTGCTCCCCCCCACCTCAGCCTCGCCAAATCCCTGAAAGCCCCGGCCCCCTTCGTCACCCCGGGGGCTTCTAATCACTCCGTATCGATTTGCCTAACTCTTTTCATCCCGTTGAAGACACATCTTAAAACACTCCAGCCCGGAGTGTGCTCTGGGCTTTATCCACACTAATAAAATGATTTACCCTTCTCTCTGCGCTCTCCTCACAGAGGAAAATCGTTCGAGCCCCGGCTACTTGTGTGTGATCAGTAAATATTTAGTGCGGTGACATCCTTAGCTAGGCTTCCGATCGATTGGGGGACCACCGGGAGGTGCTCACGGTCCGGGCGGGGCCCCGCCGAACCCGCCGAGGGGGCTCCTCCCGCCCTCGCCTCCGGCCTCTGATTTACAACCTCTGCAACCAGCCAAGGGGGGCGAAAGCGCGCCTGGAAAATTGGCTTTTCAACCTTTTTACTTTTGACATTCAGCCACCTCCCCAGGCTCTAATTCTTGCCCCTGCTCCCTCCCTCCCTCTCCTGCCCTGACCAAAGGCGCCCCGTGCGCCCCGCTCGCCCTTCCCGCCGCCGCGCGCTGCGCGGGCGCCCCCGCGGTCCGGGGACCACCTATCACAGCCCTGCGCCGCGACGCGGGGAGGCCAGGCCTCTGCTCCGGGGGTCGTCGCCCTCGGGGGGCGCTGCCCGCCCTCGCCGCACCGGGGGAAGAGCCGTGGAGACGCCCAGAGCTACGTTCGCCCAACGTGAAGTCGCTCTCCTCGCCACCTTTTTTTTCTCTGACCTTCTGTCATTTCCCCATTTGTACGGTCGGTCCTCGACGCCCCTCGGGCTGTATGGCGTCGGGTGGGAACTTTACTTTCCTCGCAGAGACGCTCTCTTTCCTCAGAAGTGAAAAAGCGCTTAGCAGAGGTGTTGGAAGAGAGCCTTCTACCCTGATCGTGGCCTCCAGAGGTCTGTGGCCGAGGCAGTAAGAGTGTTGGCGACCCCGGGGCTCCCGGCCTCCCCGCGGGCGCACACTCTTGCCTTATTGCAGGGCCGTGCCCTGGACCTAGACACTGCGCAGTGGACCCGACCCGAAGTGAGGCGTAGCCGGCCCTCGCCCGCTCCTACGGGACCCACCACCTCGGATGGCTACGGAGCGCGAGCAGGAGGTTTGAGGGCTACTAAGCCCCTGGGCTTGACCGCCCCCTTCCACCCCGGGACGATAATGGAGAAGAGTCCAACACTGTCGCCCACCTGTTAGCCGGCCTGCTCCCCTCTCACCTGGGGCCCGGGCCTCTGCAATTCTCCCGGGCCCAGGCAGGAAGGTGAGCGACCTCGCTGTGCCCACGGACCCTCCCCAACGCTAGCGCCCTCTCCTTTGTCCTTCACGTGATTCTCTAAACCGCCCTATCCACAGACTATATCTTTATACTAATGCATACTTAATTGGTCCATCTTGACTGTCCACATAAAACAATTTAATTAGGGTGCTTTCTTGCTTTGGAGTGCAAAGAAAAAAATCTGCCCAGTGCTTATTGTATTTAGCACCAATACAGGCAGAAAATGTAGCACAAGTTTTTGGTTGAAAGAGCACCTCTGTGCCCATTGAAGGGCGTTGATCCGAAAAGACAGAAAGGACAAGTAAAATCGATTTGAAGCGACCCTCTCTGTCCCTTTCACACCATTCAGAAACTCCATTCCTTCTAAAACAAAGACCAGCGCCTTGGGAATTCTCAAGGAAAAAGAGTCCAGTTCCACAAGCCTACCGCACTTTTAAAATTTCCTCAGTGTTGCCCTTAAAACCTGTTCTCGGTTCTGTGCCCCCCGCAAGCGTGTTTCACAAGCACCCCCTCCGAAGCGTCAGGCAGTAGGGCTGACAACCCACTCTTCCACTCGCTCGGCCTTCTCACCAGGCCAAAGCAGACTTTTAGGGTTAGTGCAGCCCTCACCTTTGACCCTCAAGATCCGAGTGGCTGCCACACAACAGAGCGCGAAGCTACAATTCAGGGCAAACTTAAAAGAAACCAAAACAATGCTTCTCACTCCCAAACCCGGAGAAATCAGTTGTGGTTCCGCTGCCTGAACCACCTTCCCCAATAACCACCTCCACCCTCAACTTTTTTCATCTCTTCTTCTGCAGTGCACTACTCTAGCCACTCTGAAGGAGAGGACTTTAGTTGTCAGGCTGCGTCGCTGGGTTGCGGGTGAGTTGTCCTCCATTAGGAACCCGAATGCCAGGTTGTCCGACAGGCGCCCAGGCTGGGGAAGGCAGTCATTGATCAGACCTGGCAGAGAAGGGAGGAGGGAGAGGAGGGCAGGGAAGGGGAGGGGAGAGGTTGGGCTGTGATCACCTTCACCTGCCCTGAGCCTGGTCCCCCCACCCCCCACCGTTCAACTATCCCTCGACCTTCTGCTGGGGTTACAGGGGGCGGGGGCGAAAGGAAGGAGGCACCCCCGAGTTACACAAGTGGCCTCCTTCTATGCAGAATGAGTTCACCACCTCCCCAGAGGAACCTCACCATCTATCCACTCCATGTAACTGATGAGACAAACCGCAAGGAAAAACTTCTGTAGCCCATATTTATGGTATTAATGAATAGTTAAAAAAAGATTTACACTTCTTATGATCAATATTCTGAGTTATTTCGCTCAAAGTATATAATTACAGTGTCTTCAGAGTTTTCATCATTGTTTGAGGTGGCAAAACCATTTGTAATTTTCATTAGCCAGTAAACATGTAATTAACATTCAGCACTGTGTTTAACTTAATTCCTGTTTAAGACAAGGACAAGAAGCAGCCGAAGAACGTTAGTTCCATTTGTCAAGCCTGACATACATCTTACCATAACAGTTTCCTAAAATAAAAGATCCGTGTTTCCCCATTATTCTTCTCTTAAAACAAAACAAAACAAAAAAAATACGTTAGTTAAAACTATATTAAACTGCAAGAGGCCGCATAGTTTATTCTTAATTTTCTCTAGTTACTGTATTCCTGCGTCCTTTATTCATGTTGAGAGGTGGATGAAGGGAGGGGTTGAATTAAGCATTCATTATCTGAAGACCTGAAATGGGGAACCCCTCCCCCCAAAAGAAATAGGTTTCCTCTTCAGGAAAGTTCTAGAAAGGGGAATAGACAGCGGGGGGCACAAGTCTTCAGTGAAGGGGGAAAATCACTTGGGGGGATTTAAGTTAAAAGTAGAAAATGAGGCTTGCAATGGATTCCTAGTAAAAATGTTGCCCTCCTGTTTCAAGTCCTATCTTTGATCCAGGGAAAGGGGAGCCTGTGTGCCAGTCTGCCAGGCTGCCGCTTTTTCCCCCTCCTCTCCCACCTCTGTGGGGTTTTTTTTTTCCAACTTGCTTTAGGATTAGCCTCCATCCCTCTCGACCCCAAATAGTGGAATTTGGCTGTGCCTCGGGTCACCCTGCTCTGCAGTATCGCCTATAGTTGTTGGCGGTTTTCTGCTGAGGCTGAGCCGTTTGCTCCAGCCTCCGACTAAACTCATTAAGTTGGGAGATTTTTTTCAATTGGACGGGTGTTTTTAAAGTCTCGTCTTTCCAGCCCCAAACAAGGTGTAACAACGCACTCTTCCTTCTAAGGAATGAGATGAGAGACAAGGATCACTCCAGACATCTCCTACCTACGGTTTGGGGTTTTTTTTCTTAAAGGCGAGGCTTGCATTCCTCAGCAGCTATGTACAAAGCTCCCTGAAACCTCATCTTTCTAAAGTTAGCGTGCTGGGTTTTCCAAGGCTGAGAGCGCCTAATACATGGGGAAGCACTTCTTGAGGTGGAAGATCTCTCCCTTCACCTTTCCTCTTTTTCCCTGCAGGCTAGTGCCTACTTTTTATCAGTTTGCACAATCGCTTAGATAAACACCGAGGAGGAGATTCTCTTTAATTATCAAAGACACATCTTTTCAGGGGGCCAACAAAGCGTTTATTTCACCCGCCAAACTAAAGGAGAGTTATTCCAGTTTAGAAGGAAGATGCAAGCTGTTTGGGACCTTGAACAAGGCAAATATGGTTTTGGTATGTTTACTTACAGTATTTTTTTTCTCTCTCTCTTTCCTTTCTCACTTTTCTCCTTGTGCTGTGTGGGGCTGGGGATGACTTGGGGCTTTTCAAAAAATCGGTTTGCTATCGTGTGTGAAATGCCTAGACTGTGGTTTAAGGGATTCGGGAAGGGGCAACAGTCAATTCAATGCATTGCCATATTTTATTACATGTGTGTGATAGGAGAGGTGGTGGAGGGAGGAGAGGGGGGAAATACAATTGCAAAGCTGCCAAAATATGATTAAACCTAAGCGTAAAGACTGCGGTGCCTCCCTTCTCCTCGTCCTGTCTCCTCAAACTCATTTCCTTCGATAGAGCAAACTAAAAACCAGTCCTTATAAGCGTGTTTTTCCAAGCAAGGACGACTCGGTTTTCTAGCAAAGGAGCTGCTAGGCTTGCATTAAGTATCAGAATTTTCTATTCGATTTGCCTCTGCGCTTCATTTTGCAACCTTGTGCAACTGACAGCCAGCCAGGCAGGGAGAGAGAAACGCTCTGCCGGGCGCCTCGGCCGCGGCTCGGGGAGGCGAGCGCTCGGCTAAGCTAGGAGAATCGCGACGAGCAGGGTACTCACCATCGGGCGGGGTGGTGCAGCTGGCGTGCGATTTCAGGCAAACGTTTACCTTTTTGCTGTCTATTGCAACCGCGTCGGGCTGACTTATGAAGCAATTCTGCGCTCTGTCCAGAACGTTCAAGGAACGGTGCCTCATTTTTTAAAAGCCAGCGAGAGAGACGACAGAGACAGAGAAAGAAAAAGAGAGGAGGGGGTGAGGGGGATGCACATAAACCCAGTTCAGGGGGAAAAAAGAGAGAGAGAGAGAGAGAAAGAAAGAAAGAAAAATCATCACCTCTCTGCCAGTGACTCGAGAAATGCAGAGGTGGCGAGATCCGAGTCCGGTCCGACCAAGCCAGAGCCAATTAATTTTAAATCCTGGAGAATTATTCAGATTAAAATGTACAGAAGTTTCCATCTCCAATGCCTACGTGAACCCAAAGTCGTTCCCCTTTAAGAGCTCCTTTTCTTTTAAAGTTGAATTTAGGCAGCGAGGACTCTTACACTAGGGGGCAGACAGATACTGTACTTGCTCCAATCTTAAGCAATTTTTTCCCTCCCAGCATATGCTCTGATTTAGCACTGTAAATTTTTCAGAGGACCCAACTCTGACAGCCCCTGGTGATTTTCAAAGTACCACAAGCCAGTGGTTAAAAATTGCATTGACTTGGAAGTTCAGAGGGACACAATGGAAGCCCCTTTGCCTATTCATGGAGCTCCAGTGTGGTGGAAGAGAAAAACACACACGGACTAGATTGAGGGAAAGGAAGAATTCAATGAATCCTGGTGGACAGAACTGGTTTCTACTGAGTTCAGAGTTAAACTCGCCATTTGCTGGGGTCTGTATTCATATTGTGATTTAATCTGTAGAGAATTACAGCAATCAGGCCACTTTCTGCAAGAAAATCATATTCCTGGGTGGGTTTTCTTTTCTTTTGCTTCTTTTCTTTCAGAGTAAAACAAACGTTTTTCCAACTTTCTCCGGCCAAATTAAAGCTTGCCATCCTTCTCATTAAAATGAATTTACATCTGCAATGAAAGACTGGGCTGATTTTTAAAAATAATAATAACATTGATATTTATCTTTTAGTCTTAGAGCCCTTTTATTCAAGGAAAATGAGCATCTCTGAAGAAGACATTTTAAAATATTTTTCTCTTTTTTCTCAGTCTGCAGTCCTCCCTATTTTATGCAGTAAAATTAACTACAAATGATAAGGTCTCTCTCTCCTTTTTTTTTTTTGCTTTTTAATAGCATCCCATAATTGAATGAGTCCTAAAATACAGAGTGAAACATCTCTGACTTGGTGGCAGCCGTGTGGTCAAGTGCCTTAGCGGGCTCCAGTTCTGTAGGAAATGATTGGGAAATTCTTCATTTTAAATCTGAAGTCAGAGTGTACTTCAAATACCAAAAATCTCTGAGTAGACTTAGGAAGCTCTTCTTCCTCAAAATTTTCCCACTGCATGTCTGCAAAAGGTGATCTTGCTATGGAAGTGTCTGCACTCAAGAGGCAAGATTAAGATTTCTCTACAATCAATTATTCTCATCTTCTATTAAATTGAGATGAGAATGCCCATTAGATTTCCTATCTCAACCCATCCCCACCACATCTCTGCTGAGTTTGCCCCTAATCTACTGACATTTGTAGCATTAGGCAATTCCTTGTATCATAAAGGTTGAAAGAAAAAAAAAACCTTCTCTTAAGTGATTTCTTTTCCATCTTTCTTGTCCTCTTTGGGAGAAAGTTATATTGTGTCTCTAATCAACCTGAAATTCTCAGCTTGGCTTTGCTCTGTGGCAATCTCATTACACACCAGGTTTTTGATAGTTTAGTGTCCACTATAGGTTTTTTTTTTTTTTTTACAACTTTCAAATAATCCCAGCACCTGCAGCTTTAGTGAAATATGTGATTTCAGCAGAGTAAGTTTTCAGAAATGAAGCGTAAAGAGAATTTTTCCTCCCCTAAAAACTAGCCCATATCTGCCTACATCTTTGGTTGGTCCCTACCTTATATTCTGCCTGTTGAAAGGGTATTGGATACTAAATGCAATCTACATATGTGAATTATATGTACAATTTACTATTTTTTAACTCTTACATTTTGTCAGTTTTTTGAACTATCAAAGATGCTTTCCTGTGGCCATTAATTTACTTTTATATGTTCATGTTTTCCTGAAGCTCAGCGTATTTTGTGTAAAAAAATTTTAATTGTTCCTAAACCTGGTTGGCTTACCAGTTTAGATTTTTCTTGGTGCAAAGTATGTGTGATAGAGTCACAGTTTTGTTCTAGAAATGTTGAATAATCATACTCCATTACAATCTTGTCATAATCAAACAGGTTACTGCATTGGAATATAGTGTGTTCTGGGAGGCAATTCTAGATGTTTGGTGTTTAAAACCAAGTACCCTGGAATTCAGAGACAGCCCTGTTGATAATTTTAGCACATTGAGCAGAATGGCATAGGCTGTGAAGTTGTTCTTATTGCCATGAATCTCTCTAGATAGAATGTGACTTGTGTGTGGTTCTTGTGACTTGTACTTGATATTATTCCCAATTTGGGGCAGAATCTCTGGGTGTGTTTTAATGACTATATGAATGCTTAAAAGGAACTTGAGGAACAATGAAGTCCGTACTTAACTGTTCTATGACCTATAAGCACAGTCGCTGAAGTCTTTGTCTGTGTACATTGATAAATGTGCATCTGATACCATGTGCGCTTACATGTTTGTAGAGAGGGTATGCACTGGGGAGGCTGGGAGGCTGCCTCCACTTGTCCATCAGTGGGCAGATGGGTCTTGTCACCTCTTACCACGACTGGGTGTGTGGCAGGACGTTGATCTGTGAGTTAGCTACCACTAACGAGAGAGTATAAAGTTGGGGAAAATTGATTTTAATTGCGTCATGACAATGAAATGAGGTCTACTTCTGCTTCTCAGCATCCGAGATGCTTTATTTGAGCAATTAAAATGTCAGGCCACATACCTGTGAAATGTTAACCCTACAAGGAAAAGACAGACACTGAATGGCTTTTTTTCCTCTAAAAAAGAAAAAAAAAAAGGAGCCACCTAACCAAGCAAATTATCAGTTGATTAAGACAAGAGTCTACCATCACCCCGATCTGACCAAATCTTTCGTTTGGAAAACGCCTGCAAGCTCGGTTCGCGGTACCTTCCCACCCCCACCCACTACCCCTATGCAAAGAAACCGGAGAACTTTTCTCTTTCTCTGGCATTGTGGGCACAAAGATGTGCCGGGCGTCCCGGGTGGAGCGCGAGCGGCGGATTTCGTGGCATTGCCAAGTTGCGAGAGGCGAAGTCCTCGACTCCATCCGCAGCCTCTTGCGGAGCCTTTAAGAGGCGTTGTACGCGCCGCGCTCCTCTCCCCGCTGGGGCGGAAACCTCGGGTGCTGGATGCGGGGAGCGCGGGGGCCGCCAGCCTGCTGCAGCCACGGGCCCATCCCCCGCTCGGCGGCGGCAGAGTCCCGCCCCTCCCGGCCCCCCTGCGCCCCCCGCGAGCCCCGCGCCCCGGCCGCGACGCCGCTCGCGCTAGGACCGGGCTGAGCCCGCGGCCGCCATGGCGGGGCCGCCGCGCTCCGGCCAATGACGGCGAGGGGGCGGTGCGCGCGCGCCTGGCCAGGCCAACCCCGGCTGCTGCCTTATAAGGCGCGCCGTCGCCATGGCAACGTGCGCTAAGTTGCAGCAGTCGTGTCAAAGTTCACTATATAGAGAGCTCAGTGAGCTGATCGCGGAGCAGCCACTTCTGCCAGCCCCGGCGCCTATAAATCGCATTCCCTCCCGCGCCCCCCTTTTTAGCATATTTGATCACTTTGATTCTCTGTTCTTTTCTCTCCGCGGTGTGTGTGTGCGTGCGCGCGTGTGTGTTTTCTTCTCCTCCTCCTCGTCTGCCCGAGTTGCCTCCTTTCTCCGGGTGTCTTGCTGCCTTTTTTCCCTTCTTTCATTCTTTCTCTCCGTCTTTCTCTCCCCCCTCTGCGCACGAAGGATGTGCTTCTAGGTGGTGATCTGCCCTCCTCTCTCTCTTTTATCATTTCTCCCCCGCCGCCGGCGAGCTGACTCTTTCCCTATGTGTGTGAGGCGGCGGCGGCAGCAGCGGCTCCGGCGGCGGCAGCAGCGGCTCCAGCGGCTTCAGCGGCGGCGGCGGCGCTAGACGCGGCGGCTCCGGGCCCGACCCGGCGGCTCCGGCGGCGGCGGCGGCCCGCAGGGAGCGGCGAGCGGCCTCCATCCGGCGAAAGCGGGCGGCGGCGGCCGGAGCGAGCGAGGCGCGCGCCGGGCGCCCGCGGCAGGCGGCGGCGGCGGCGGCCCAGCGCCAGGACGACGCCGCGCAGCGCCCGACGCGGACCACGTTCATGCTGATTCCCCCGGACCCGGGCAGTGCTCCGGCCACTCCGCGGGCCGCCGGCCTCCGCCCCGGCCTGGCCGGCTCCCTGGGCGCGCCCGCGACCGGCGCCTCGGCTCTCCCAGCCCTCCTGATTTCGATGGCTTTCCTGAATGGCTGACTGTGGGCTGCGCTGGACTTGGCCCCCGGACAGTCGCCTCTCCTCTTCTGCCTCCTCCTCCGCCTCCTCCTCCAACTCCTCGGCACCGCAGGTCTGAGCGCGACAGACAGACAGAGAGAGAGGGAGGGAGAGAGGGAGAGCGAGCGAGATCTTCGGAGAGATTTTTGTTTTGCCTTCTACTTCTGTCTTGAAGCCAGACAATCGACTTGCCGCTCGCCCTGCCCTCCCTCCCTCTCCACGTTCCGCTCCCACTCGCTCTCCCCGGCCCCTTCCCCTCCCCTCCGGGCGGAAAGCCCCCGAAACCAACAAAGCTGAGCCGAGGGAAACAAACAAAACAAACACACCGGGCCAGACCAGCCATCGACAAAACTTTGCAAAAACAGAAACAAAAAAGGAAAACCTAACCAACCTCAACCAAGCAGCCCCCGAGCCACCCGGGGCGCCCTCCCGCGCCCTCTCGCACCCTCGCACACACAAAAGGCGGCGCGCCGGGGCCCGAGACCCGGGAGCCGCCCGCCCGCAGCCAAGGGAGCAGGAAGCCCGGACGCGGCCCCCATAGATATGGCAATGGTAGTCAGCACGTGGCGCGACCCCCAGGACGAGGTGCCCGGCTCACAGGGCAGCCAGGCCTCGCAGGCGCCGCCCGTGCCCGGGCCGCCGCCCGGAGCCCCGCACACGCCCCAGACGCCGGGCCAGGGGGGCCCGGCCAGCACGCCGGCGCAGACGGCGGCCGGCGGCCAGGGCGGCCCCGGCGGCCCGGGCGGCGACAAGCAGCCGCAGCAGCACATCGAGTGCGTGGTGTGCGGCGACAAGTCGAGCGGCAAACACTACGGCCAGTTCACGTGCGAGGGCTGCAAGAGCTTCTTCAAGCGCAGCGTGCGGAGGAACCTGAGCTACACGTGCCGCGCCAACCGGAACTGTCCCATCGACCAGCACCACCGCAACCAGTGCCAGTACTGCCGCCTCAAAAAGTGCCTCAAAGTAGGCATGAGACGGGAAGGTATCGGCCTCTCCTTTCTCCCCCCCTCGCCTGGGGTCCCGGGGCCCTGGGTGCGGTTGGCTAGCCTGCTCTGGGTAAGGACCTGAAGCCCCAAGCTCTTCTCTTCGCATTGCTGCTGACCAGGGCTTTCAAATTGGGGAAGCACGTTCTGCACTGGAACCCAGACCCCCCAGTTCCGCATGCTTTGGCCGACTGATTGCCTCCTCCACTCTCTCTTCGGGCTGTTTCATTATCTTTGCGTTGATAGCGAGTTCATTCGAGTTCGCCTTTCTGCAGGGGATGGGGTGGTGGTGATGGTGGTTTTAAAGCCTGCGTTACTTCTCTGTCTTTCAGTTTTTCTCTCCTTGTTTTTCCTGCATGTTCAACATATGTCCCTCCTCCCTACCCCCTCCCCAGCCCCCACCCTCTGAAAAAAAAAAAAAAGCCGACCTGAGATTGTACTTTTGTACAGGAGGTTCAAATTACAAATGGCAATTTTATGCACTTCGCCGTATTAACGCTGCCGCCCGGGCAGCGCTCATGTGACCCTCCGTGGATTAACATTCTGCTAAAAAAAAAAAAAAAATACCTCTGTTTTCTTTTTTCCTTTCACTTTTGAAAGGAGGAGAGCGCGATAGGGAGTAGGGAAAGGGTGGGCGAGGGGCCCGGGGCGGCTGCTTTCGCTCTGCGCGAGTTGGGTCTTTGTGATATAAAATTCGCCGAGCGCCGCGAGCCGGGCTCGGCCAATGGCGCGCTCCGCGTCGGCGCGGGCTCCGGGTTGGGGCGAGCGAATGCCGGGGGTTCTTTGTGTTTCTGCGAGAGCGACTCTACCGGTCCGGCGGCAGATAACAGCCCGGGCCCGGGCCTCGCCGGCCCTCTCGGGCCCTACCCGGCTGCGCCGGCGCCGGCCGCCTGCTGCCCGCCTCTCCCCGGCTGCCTCCCGCCTCGGCCGGCCTCTCTCCGCCCTCTCCCTCCGTCTCTCCCCTCCGAGCACACTGATGAGTCAGCCGGCCGCCAGACCGCGGCTCTCCGCGCGTCCCTCGCCGGGGCTTCCCCGCCGGGCCGGGGCCGGGGCTGCAGGGGCTGGAGGAGAGTCGTTCGGGGAGGCCTCGGGCCGTCTGGGGTGAACCCTTGTGTCTTTGGCGAAGGTGTCTCACCCTCCCCCCCAGACTCGCCCCTCCCGCTCCCGCTCCTCCAATCAATAAGAAATATCAGCTGTTTAGCAGTAAAGAAGAAAGATGCCCCCAGAATGCTACATCCCGCCCACTGTGCCGGGACCCCGAGGCAAAGTGGCCAATTCTGGGTTCTGGGCGGTCCAGCCCCAAGCGGGCCTCGGAGGCAAGTGTGCCGCCCTGGCCGCCAGAGCTTGCCTGGGTGGCAGTTTGAGAGGAGTCCCGGCATCCTGGGGACTCCCAGGTCGGTGGCCCTGGCGCGCCTGTGAGAGGGGCAGGCCTGCCTGTTCTTGCGCGGCGCGGGGTCTGGGTCAGCTGGGGGTCTGGTTGGGGCAGACCCTGCTCTGGGAGCTGGGGAGCAAGGCTAGTCATTAACTGCGGACTGTCTCCTTTCCTCCCCGCAGCCGTGCAGAGGGGCAGAATGCCGCCCACCCAGCCAACCCACGGGCAGTTTGCGCTGACCAACGGGGACCCCCTCAACTGCCACTCGTACCTGTCCGGATATATTTCTCTGCTGCTGCGCGCGGAACCCTATCCCACGTCGCGCTTCGGCAGCCAGTGCATGCAGCCCAACAACATCATGGGCATCGAGAACATTTGCGAACTGGCCGCGCGGATGCTCTTCAGCGCCGTCGAGTGGGCCCGGAACATCCCCTTCTTCCCTGACCTGCAGATCACCGACCAGGTGGCCCTGCTTCGCCTCACCTGGAGCGAGCTGTTCGTGCTAAACGCGGCACAGTGCTCCATGCCCCTCCACGTCGCCCCGCTCCTGGCCGCCGCCGGCCTACACGCCTCGCCCATGTCCGCCGACCGGGTGGTCGCCTTTATGGACCACATACGGATCTTCCAAGAGCAAGTGGAGAAGCTCAAAGCGCTGCACGTCGACTCTGCCGAGTACAGCTGCCTCAAGGCCATAGTCCTGTTCACCTCAGGTAGGAAGGAGCGCTACCCTCTCATGTTCAAAGGCGCCTAGCCCAGAATTAGGGGCCAGAGAGTTTGGGAGCCCCCATAGTGAGCCCAGCCTCTCCCGTGAAAAGCCAAACTGTTGAGTGCAACTTGGAGTGGGAACTTTGTAGAGCTGCTGGGCCCCACCAGGCCTGCCCTGGGGAGGGGAGTGGAAAGCTGGCTGCTGGGGGGATGTTTCAGACACAGACTCTCAAAATGAGCCATGGGGTATAGCTTCTCAGACCACTTCTCCTCCTGCCAAACTGGGACACATGCCCCTGCTCCCTGTTATCCCAGGTCCTCTGGGCCAGCTGCGTCTGTGGAATTTCCTCTGCCCCATGGCTCTCTGGGTCCCCCTGAATGAGCCTCCAGGAGACACCCCTGGGTGCTGGAGCAGCCCTGGCATCACCCTTGCAAGGAAAAGTTTGCCCGAAAACCCAGTAGGAGGTGGGGCTCTGGGCAAATGTAACCTGGGGGCCTCAGTTCAAAATCATATCCTTATTACAACCACGCAGACTGCCAGGAGAAGGCAAAAACTGTCAGGAAGGGGCAAGAGGAAAAAAGGGGCCATCGTGGCTCTCCACAGTGTTCGTAGGGGGCTGAGGTCTCTGGCCTCTAGTTTCCTCTGCCCAGGCAAACACTTAGAGGCAATTTTCAAACAACCCAAAGTGTATGCCAACTTGGACTGTATATAAATGTTGCAGGAGATATAAAACCGTCATTGACTGCATTGCGAAATCTAATTAGTTTGCATGTAGTTTGAACTGAGTGAGTAATAGACGTAATATTATTAATTAACTCTTGAGGCCAAATGATTTTTGAAGGTGTCTGGCTTTACACTTTGGGCCACACCTGAGCCTTTTGGCTGCCTCCGGGTTGAGTTCAGCACAGCCCAGGTGGGTGTAAATCACTCCCTCCACATTCTTGTTCTGAGTTGTCAGCTGATTCCTTTGTCACGGCTGAGAGGGGAAAGGGGTTCCCAATTCAGAATAATGAACATTTGGAAGTTGGCAGGGCTTGGAACCTAGTCACCCACTGCAGTTTGTTCAGCTTGTAATCAGGACACTAGGAGAAGTGTGTAGGTCATGTGGCAGACAAAAAAAATCCAGTTTCTTATTGTTTGAAGAAAATCTGGGGACCCAAGATATTAGGTGAATCTATTGCAGGTTCTCAATCTTTAATCCACTGTCTCGTACACACTGCTGCTTTCCACATAAAATCCCGCCACATAAAATCCAAATTCTACCTTCCAGAGTCCTTAGGTAATCAATTAAAGGGCAGTGTCGGGGCAAGGAAGAGCTCTATGCAGAGGCTTGGATCTGGATTATTCTTCTCTGGGGACCTGTCATAACTAGAGCATTTGCCTGATGCAAATGTACAGGCAGGATACTCCCCAACCCCACAGCCACCTTCAGCCCAGTCCACAGCACAACACCCAGCCCACCTTCCCAGACGATGGGGGTGATTGTTAATTTCTTGATATCATTGTTAGCTCTTAGACTTACCCTTGGTCTTTCAAGGAAAGAAATGCCTGATATTGTCGTAACAGTTTAATTTATTACTATTTGCAAAATGTAGAGGCCTGTGTGAAGAATGCAAATTGCCTCACAAAGAGATAAAGGTTCTTGTTATCTGATTCAGTGGGAGACACAGAGTACTGATACAGAGGGATAGAATCCTATGCAAACAGATCCTTTAAGTCCTGACCACAGACACCTATGCATTCTGTAGACATGCAGAGTCCTAAGGTACACACATGAGGAGATTGCATGTGTGTTCTGGTCTTTGGGATGGAGGTGGTGGTGGCTGTTTTCAAGTATCTGTTTTAAGGATTCACACTATGCATGTGTTAGCCCCTGTCTTGTCTGGGGAGTCCTAAAAGGTCAGGTCACAACCTGCACCGCCTCCACTGAGAAGCCTTTCATTTCAAAGGCACTTATTGTATTTAAACGTATCCAAAAAAGAAGTGTTTTCCTGAAGATAACGGGGAGGGGAGTTCTTTTTTGCAGGGACTTTGGTTTAAAAAAATTAAAGAGGGGGTGGTAGGAGAAAAGGGACAGAGAAGAAAAGGGGGGAAAAGAAACAGCTCAAATGAACAGAGAGATCACAGTTTGCATGGCTGCCCTTCAATAGGCTAAACTGACAAGATCAGTTTTAAAGGGCCACTTAAATCAGTTTCAAAGACTGGAGAAAAATGAGTCGCCCTCTTTGGGGAGAATCTGAGACTGGGTCGAGGACGCCATTACTTGGGGCTGGGCCAGGTTGTAGCCCCCCCCCACTATATAATTATAAGCCAAACTATTATTGACAGAGAAGAAGGGGGAGGAGCACTGACAGTTTTGGTTTCATCTGTTTGTCTGTCTGTTTACTGACTTGAGCCAGATTCACCCAATGCACTTTGCTTGGGCCTCTCAGTGACCAAACCTCAGGACTGGGACAGTGAAAGCCTGCAAAGCACTGAGCTGTATTTTATTTTAAAGCAAATAGCCCAGGACCATCTCATGATCTCCCTGCCCAACTCCCCGCCCCCCCTTCACCCAAGTTTTCAGGACGGAGGCATTTGTTCCAGCTCCGGTTGGGGCAGTTTGACACAGCACTGTACACACACTTCACGTGACCCATTTCAAACCTCTTAATCTGATGACTGAATTCTTCTTCTTCTTCTTCTTCTTCTTTTTTTTTTTTTTAACTTTCTTCCAGATGCCTGTGGTCTTTCTGATGTAGCCCATGTGGAAAGCTTGCAGGAAAAGTCCCAGTGTGCTTTGGAAGAATACGTTAGGAGCCAGTACCCCAACCAACCAACACGATTCGGAAAGCTTTTGCTTCGCCTCCCTTCCCTCCGCACGGTCTCCTCCTCAGTCATAGAGCAATTGTTTTTCGTCCGTTTGGTAGGTAAAACCCCCATCGAAACCCTCATCCGGGATATGTTACTGTCCGGCAGCAGTTTTAACTGGCCGTATATGGCAATTCAATAAATAAATAAATCAAAATAAGAAGGGGGAGTGAAACAGAGAGAAAAGGCAAGAGACTGGTTTGTTTGCTTAAATTCCTTCTGTTAAGAAAGGATATAAAAGGATGTTACAAGTTTGCTAAAAGAAGAGAGGGGAAGAATTTAATGGACTGTGAATTAAAAAAAAAAAGACTGTCAAATGAACTTTTACAGAATGCATTAAAAAAAAAAACTCCTGTGTCGGTCAGAACAACTTGCTACTTATCATTTTTGTATAAAAAAGAAATTAGTCTTTTTCTTTTTTGGTAAATTTTTGAAAAATATTGCTAAAAGTGCATTTAAGGAGATTGGGAGAAAATTAGCAGAATGGAGAAAGTAAGTCTTTTTTTTTTTCCAAATTATTAATTGTCCTGTGTCTATGTACCTCTAGCTGTTCTTTTTTGTACTTTTCTGGTTCCAAACCAGTTTACTCTGTGGTTCTATAATAAGTTTTGATATAATCTTGGCTTCTTAAAAACTGTGTATCCTTAAAATATATGTTCTGCAAGAATTAAAACTGAGTCCATGAAAATATCATAGGAAGACATAAAACTTTAAAAGGCAACTCAAAGATGATGGAAACGCACTTACAAGTGGTTACCAAAAATTTTAGGTGATGTTGAGCACTCTAATTTGAGAACTGAAGGAACCACATACAATACTTAACTTCCCCTACCCTGCCCCCCACCCCCACCCCAAAGATACCATGACAAACCTAGCTTTTTAAAAATATTTTAAGAAAGAGAATGAACTGTGGAATTTATTGGCAGCCAAGGAATGTGTCCAAGACACATGCTGAGGTTTTGAATAAAAAGTGAACTTTTGTAATTTGAATTGGGTCCCGCTTAGTTCTTGAATTGTTATGAAAATCCTATATCTGTTTGTATATTTGCAAACCCTTTGTATTATAATTGTTGATATTTTCCCTTTTTAAAAAATACCATTGAAATCAGCATGACAAAATAACACTGTTGGCACTTATAGGTAACGTGATTGATTCAGTATCTTAGAGTTTACAGTTTGTGTTTTTAAAAAACTGAAGGTTTTTTTTTTTAAGTGCAACATTTCTGTATACTGTAAAAGTTATAATAACTGAACTGTTTGGTCGAGTCTTTGTGTGTTATATTCCAAGGAAAATTGAAAGTATTCAGAAATTAAAATATTATTTGATATCTGAAACCTGTTTGGCTGTCCCCACTCACTGTCTTGCCTTCGAGAAGAGCCCCTGTGAGCTCTCCCTGAGCCGGGCTAGGGGGCTCTGTCTGTTTGTTCAAAGGTGGACTAGTGTATTTGCCTGTTTAATTTGGGTGTGTGTGTCGGGGAAGCTGAAGTTAATGGTTTATCTATGGTTTAGGAAGTGCCATACTGATATTAGTAAACCACCCCCATTCAACCTAATCCTTCTTTTAATTAAAAATGGATTTTCCAGGAGGAAAAAAAAAAGGCCCTTATATTTGTCACACTTAAGTGCCTGCTTAGGGAAGGTATTGTGAAAAGTATTAGAAATCTTGAGATCAGTATCTATTTTATGATCAGAAAAAAAATACTGGTTTGTACATTTCTGACAGTTAAGCAGAAGACGGTTCCAGCAAGCTAATCACAGCATTGTAAATAGAGGGCCGTTGTTTGCAATGAGTTTTTCCTGAAGTAGGTGTGATTTTTTAAAAATATTCTGTGGTTCTCATCTAGTGTGGTTGTTGAGAGGATTTCAAATTCAGTGACATAGCTTATAGCGCTGAAGGGTCTGTTTTTACTGTATATATGACAACTTGCTATTGGCCTGCCTTTCCCCTCCCCCACTTTGTGTTCATTCTGTGAGAGCATGATCATAGGTCAAGGGAATCTTTTCCATTGGAGTTATGTACATAAGACCACATCGACATCTTGACATTTAAGATTGTGTAGATACAATCTGTACTGCTCTTGGGATCCTTTGTCCTTAGAAGCCAAATTAAGAAAAGGAAGAGAAAGGAAAAAAGAGAGAAGGAAGGAAGGAAACTTTGCAGGGTGTGCTGATTTTGAAGTAGTAACTACTTTGTTTTGGAATCCTTTTCTCCCCCCTCTTTCTCTTTTCCTGGTTTGGAGGAAACTAAGTGTATGGGAGCCTGCAGTTTTGTTCTTATTGAGCCTTTCCAGCACCCACTCCCCACCATACTTCATTATGTTGTGGCTTAAATTTAAAAGGGGGGTGGGTAGGGGAGGCAAGAGAAATAGGATCATTTTGTAAAGTGTATTAATCTTCGATACAGTTCCAGTCAATACATGTAGACCAGAAAAAATCTGATTTGTGCATTTGAGCAGAGTTCATCTGACCCTCAGCCTCTTTCTGTAGATATATACATACACAAAAATAAGTATGTTCTTAAGGCAGAATATCACTGACCTTTAGATCGAGGTTTTGTCGGTTATTTTCTGCTGTTGCAAGTGCTATCCATGTGAGTGTGTGAAGTTTCCTAATAAGTAAAACACAGGCCCTTTTCCTTGTTTTGTGTTAGTTTATTGTAAACAGCCATTTATTGTAAATTATTATTGGCATTAAATTATAATTTATGATTTTCAAAGCAAAAGACAGTCCCTGTTTTATTGTGCTTTAAGCATGTGTTCTAGACGTTGGAAATCTCTCTCACTCTAGGTTTCACCAGTGAGCTTGGGGTCTGCGAGGCAGAAAAACAGGACCCCAAATTTTTCAAACGGTTAAAACAAAACCCCTTGTATATGTTTAGAGTGGCCGGAGGAGGATCTGTTTAGAGTCTTGAGTTTGGTTTAAGTTTATTGCATTTAAAGAAAGTTTTTCTTTTCACGCTGAGTTAGAACAAAAGATCTTTGCTGCGACTGAATTGGACAAAAGACGAGGGCTGGGACCCAGCGAGTGTGTCCTGTGTGAAATTGACGAGATCTTTAAAAAAGCTGCTAAACATGGCGACTCTTTCCCTTTAAGTGTCTCTTTTTCCNTTTTTTTCCCCCATCTGATCTGAGCTCGCTTTATTTCTTTTCCCAGCCCGCTCCCCTCCTCCTCTTTGCGCTCGGGGGGTGTGAGAGCCCAGTTAGACGCGAAATGCAACAATAGTCCGAGGGGAGAGAGAGAGAGAGAGAGGCGATAGCTGCTTCTCGCCACATTCAAACCTGGGGGCAGACCGAGCCGGGGGGATCGCAGCCCCTCCGCGCGGCGCGCGGCCGCCAGCCTCGGCCTTTCCCCAGGAGTTCTCCCGGGCTGCGAGGGGCTGGGGCTCAGAGTTAGCGGCGATGTCCGGGGCCGTTCTGCGGAGACGCTGGGGTGGCATCCGGCCGGCTCGGGGGACGGGGGCCCGGAGTTGGCAGCAGCTGCGGAAAGTGCCTGCCCCCCGCCCCCGCCCCCGCTTACGTGCGGCGGAATTCCGCCTGCGCCCCCGGAACGTCCGGGGTGCCGGGCGCGCGGAGCTGCGCTCCCGGCCTGGCCCGGAGTGGTGGCCGGCGGGGGCGGGGGCGGCGGGGGGCGCGCGAGCGTGTGAAACTGCCTCGCAGCTCGCGGTGGACTTAGTCCTGCGAGCGGAGCCAACATGGCGTCTCCCACTGCGCCGCGAGCGCCGGGCTGCCAGGCACGGCAGGGCCGGGTAATCGAAAACACATTGGTTCCCAAAAAGCAAAAAGGCGGTGGGTGGGTGCGGGGGGCGGCTGGAGGCCAGTCCATCTGCAGGCAGAAAACCCTCTTTCAAACTCTTGTTGGCGAGCGAGTGCGGTCCTCGATTATCCTGTAATTAAAGCAGCAGAATTCCTAGGGAAAATACTGGTAACGCAGTAGCCCTTCCCCCGTCGCCCCCACCCCCACTGCCCACCCCTTGACGATCCGGAGAGTTTAGTTCCTGTCTTCCCTCCCAGCAAGAACCAACTTAGAAAAAAGTCTGTATCCTCCAAAGATCTCGAATGTTGGAATGGTTTGGGGGAGGGGGAGAGACTGGTATTTGCAGACCTGGGTCAGTTCTCGCGCTCATTAAGGCAGGGGCTGCGCCGGGGTTTGCGCGGGCCGGGCTTCGCTGGGGTGGAGGCCAGGCCTCGAACCCGCCGGACGTGGGCAGAACTTGCTGCTCGCGTGTCAAACTTGTGCGAAAGGCGGCTCTCCAGGCGGAGGGCTGACTGGGGACGTGCAGGGGCCGAGGGGCGGGGGCGAGTGGTCGCGGGCCCTAGAGATGTGGGAGGTGGTATGGACGGCGCCCGACAGGAGCGCTCCTACAGCGGAGGATCCCTTTCTCTAATAGGTTTGAGCACGGGCAAGGCCGACCCTGGGGCCGACCTGGCCTCCCAGAGAGGTCCTTGCAAGGGCCTCGAGAGAGAGACTGGATTGGCCCGGGCTGAACTCTCAGCCAGCAGGGGAATCGGCCCCTTCCATCCAATTCCAGCCCCTGCTCGGGCCTGGAGACCCCTACCCTCAGCCGCCTGGGAGGGGAGCGAGGTACTCTCTGAATTCCGAGTCTCGTCAAGATTTATTGAAGTTGGGTTTTTAAAACGTGCTTCAGATGATTTTTCCCATTTTCTCAGATTTCAAAGGCTCCCTGCAGTGCGGCTGCCTAATTAATGGTGAAATTCAACTAAATCTAATTATGCAGTAATTTTAAAGCAGTTAGTGCTGGGCGTTGGTTTGTAATAGGACCCCAGTTTTTTAAAGTTTGCTTACTGTGTTGGTTTAGGGGAAAGCCATCTTTTGTATGGCAAAGAAAGACAGGGAAATAGTTTTGCGGCGTGAACCGGGGGGTCGACAACCGCCCCCACACCCACTTGCATCAGCATCCCCATTTCTATCTCCTTCCCTTTCGCTCTTACATTTTTTTCTCTTCCCAGCTCACGCTCAAAAGCCAAGCGAGGTGCTAACCCAGCGAGGAGATGGGTTTCACAGCTAAAGGGTTTCCCTTATGAAAGGGAGAATTTTTCATAAGACGACACAAAGGGGCTTGGTATCTGCCCTCCTGGGGTGCATCTGTAAATGCCCCAAAACTGGGAAGGAGCTCTCATCTTATGTAACAGAGAACAGATTTCCTTCCCTTCACATCCATTGTCATTACGGCGAAAAGCTGACTCTTGGAGTTATAAATCTTATCGTCCTTCTGATAACACACTTGTAATAAGTTAGCGTCCTATTCAAAGTGAATTGTAAAACTGCCTCATTTAATATGGCATCTGTGTCATTAAAACTTTTATTATAATTTTTTTTCCCTTGCGTCTCTCAGGCCTGGCGTTGGGACGAGCGCCCGAGGTGCCTATGGGGCCCTCTGGGGCCGGCACAGGTGGAGAAAGGTGTGCGGGATGGGCTGCCTGGATTCAGCCTCTGGATCTTAGTCTGGGGTGAGAGACCCCTGAGGCAGAGAGGGCTTGGGGGTGATGCTGTATCCCCCTTTCCATGCCCCGAAGCGGCCCCCTCGAAATGACGTTCCATGAAAGAAACATGCTTGTGATTAGCTAAGCAAACACATCTGCTTTCGGAGTTGGGCCTTCGTTAATTAGCTGAACAAAGGGCCGTTTTGCTTTTTACCTTTTGCTGGGGGAGAGTATGTTATTTCAGGAGTGTCGCGGGCCCTCCTCTTTTCAATTGCAGCCACGACGTTAATTTTATTGGGATTACTGATGGGAAATGAGGTGGCGCAAGCTTCCGAGAGGAAAAGCTTGATCATTACCCCCTTTGGAACTATATTTTTCCAACCAACCTCCTGCTCGCGAGGAGGGGGTGGGGGGCGAACTGTGCAGCAAGTTCGGAGCAATTGGAATCAGGCTCGCAGTACGCTGATCTCGGGTGACAGAGCGTGTGTTGAAGCTGAACTCTATAATTTGCGCTTCTGTTCCTTTATTAGCCCTGGACAACGAACTAATGAGCTTTGGCCCAGCACAGTGTCACTTGTATTTATTTTCTTATGGCAACTTTGAGATAGCAGAAGTGTTCCTTACCAAGAGCCATGGAGGGCCCGGAGTCCTGACCGCTGCTGGCCTGACCTGGGTCGGTGGCTATGTCCCCAGGGAAATGAGGATGAGGGCGCGCCCATAGTTGACTGAGCCCAGGGACTGGGCCTGTGGGTGAGTCCCTGGGGCGCTCACGAAAGCATTTGGCCCTTTAGAGGCCCAGACATTCTTGCAGGCCCAGCTTCCTGAGGTTGCGGTCGAGGGGCCCAGGGCAAGCCCAGAGGCAAGTCCCCAGACATGAGAGGGTCGGAGGTGGA